CCATTCCTGTCCAAGCCTGCATTCAATGTATCAGGGGCTATTCTAGACCGTTTTCAACAGCATCAACCGTATTTGGGCGCTGATTTGGGCACCGGCCAAATTAAAATTAGAGGACCTTTTTTTTTTTTTTTTTTTCACGTTTTTTACAGCAAATATTATTATTTTTTTTTTCAAAAAACGCTGATTTTCTGCTAAGTTTCACCAGGACAGGGGGTACCCCATCCCAAATATTTTTCCTAGAGTTGGCCCTGTGTATAATGAATTATATTAATTTATATATATATATATATATATATATATATATATATATATATATATATACATATATACATACATATATATATATATATATATATTCATATGTATATATATATATATATATATCAACCTAACTGCAACCTAAAAGTGTTTGCGGTTGGCAAAAAATTGCTGACCTCGTTTCGATGTTTTATGGAAAGACCTTTGTATCAAATTTTTTTTTGCTGACCTGATGCCGACTTCTAAAAGATTGAGGTCAACAAATTATTGCTGACCTCAATTTTCCTAATTCTGAGGGTTGATATATATATATATATATATATATATATATATATATATATATATATATATATATATATATATATATATATATATATATATATATATATATATATATATATATATATATATATATATATATATATATATATATATATATATATATATATATATATATATATATATATATATATATATATATATTAATATATTTATATATATCAGTCTTCTTTATTTGAAATGCCAGTGCATGAGAAAGCGCTGACAGGATGGTCATTATTAAGTTAGCCTGCGCGATTTAAAAAGTTCATTTTTTTGTGCTATTTAAATTAAAATAAAATAAAAATAAAAATTGAATGCTTTGAATAAATATTAGATAAAATAATTAAAATGAAAAAAACTAGTAAAAAAAGCCATTTTTCATAAAAGTTGAACAAATGTACAAATAAGTTTTGTTGCAATTTAAAGCAAAATGCTTCTATTTTTTTGGAGAATGCTTTTTTATGCACTTGCTAAAGTTTTTGTGGGCACATAGGCGAGCGCAAAAAAGTTTTAAGTGCGATATATATATATATATATATATATATATATATATATATATATATATGTATATATATATATATGTATATATGTGTGTGTGTGTATATATATATATATATATATATATATATATATATATATATATATATATATATATATATATATATATATGTATATATATATATATATATATATATATGTATATATATATATATATATATATATGTATATATGTGTGTGTGTGTATATATATAATAAAATAAATAATGTAGTAGTTGCAACTTGAACATTTATTAAAATCTGAAAAATGATACCATATTAGTTAACAGATGCATCAGTAAACTAAAATTTTGGTCTTTCTTTTTTTAAATGAATTTTAACTTTCGAATAAACAGGCTTGGACAGGAATGGCGTGCAATCAAGCGCTATTGCTGACCACGCAAATGATTTTATTTCTTGACAACTTGACCACAATATTCTTGACAACTTGACCACAAATGATTTTATTTCTTGACAACTTGACCAAGATATATGTTTGATGATTTAAACATTTCAGAAATACGCTGAATGTAGAAACGCTAAGTTTAACTGGGAAAAAAGTTAAAAAAAAAAACTAATGAAAAAAAAATTCCTAACGAAAAAAAATTATTTACAAAAAAGAAATTATATAAGCACTAAAATAAAAATTAAAAATCAAAACTTAAATTCGAAGCGAAACTTTTTGTTACGCTTTTAATTACTTTTGAAATAAATCTTTTTAAACGTTTTATTAAAGTTGCGCAAAACGCTTTTAAATTAAGTGGCAAATTACTAAATTTAATAAATGAACAAATTTTATCAAATTTATTAAAAAGTATTGAATTTAATATTTTTAAATTGCAAACATTTATTTTTTCAAAAAAGTTGCAAAAAAAAATTTTATTAAAAAAAACAACTTAGTGCTTAATTAGTAAGTCTAATTAAAAAAAAAGGTTTCCAACTCTTTTATTCGTAAAAATATGAAAAAAAAATTAAATAAAATGGGCCTGCAATTTTAATAAAATAAACTGCCAACAAGCAGTTTAATTTAATTTTAATTTGAGCATTACAATTTTATTGATGAGCGCTTCACGTAACGAATTTAAAAATTATTATAAATGATTTTAACTCATTCCTATCATAATAAAAAAAAAAAAAAAAAAGAAATTAATTAAAATGTTTGTTTTCAAAAGATTTTAAAAAATTGTTAGTTTAATTATAAAAATTAATCTTATGAACATTAAAAGCTAAATGTAAATGTGTAAAAGCTAGTAGTCGCAAAAGGTTTTAAACTTATTCATAAATTAAAGTAACTTTAAAAAAATCTTTCTAAAATTAATTCTTTAAAAGATTTTTAGGAAGACATGAGAAAACGTTTCAAATGTTTAAGTTTATCATAAAAAATACATTCCTACATAAAAAAAATTTATATATAACATTTTTAATAACTTACGTAGTGTTTCTTTGTAAACTATTTCTGTTTCTATTTCTTTGTAAACTAATTCTATGTAGTATTTCTATTTCTATAAACTATTTCTATTTCTATAAACTATTTATATTTCTTTGTAAACTAATTCTATGTAAACAATCATTAAAAAAGAATTAATTATATGTTTTTTTTAAAGCCTTCACTTAAAATAAAAACTTTAGAAAAGATCAAGTATTAAAGGTTAATCAACGTAACACTTTTTATTGCATTTAAAATTGATAAAACATCAAAATAGCCGTAGTCAAGTTGTAAAGAAAAAAAAAAAAATTAGCGTGGTCAGTTACAGAGTGCGATCGCATGCTATTACTGTCCAATCCTGAATAAAGATGTTTAATAAACTGAATTTTTCTTAAATGTTTCTCTTTTGTTTTTTCTAAAAGTATACTGCATAGTTACTGTCTTTATAACAAGCTGTCTATACTGTAATCTTTTGTTTGGTTTGTGAGAATTTACATTTTTTTTGATGGGCAACTGCCTATGTGGGAATTTCATAAGTGCAAATTACTAAAATTACTCATGCATTGGCAAACAAGACAAAAAACCGCACACGTTTCCTAAGGAGACTTGAGCAGTAAAATTTTTTTTCTCTTTATGAAAAAGTAAAAGAATTTTTCTCACTATGAGTCTTTTCCTACCTGACTCATAATTTACTTTCTGTTAATATTTTTTTGTTAACCATTTATTAGACTGTCAATCCCGTAGCATTTAAAAACTCTAGCCTCATTTCCCCTTCAATATTTTTCAATCCAAACCTTTTTCCATAAATCACTTCTTCAAAACTATCTGTGACTGCACCAATACACCTAATCATGTCTTCACTTACAAATACCCTACTCATTTTTTATAAAATTACAAAACATTCAAAACACAATGTAAAGTTCTTCCTTTCTGTACAATGTAAAGTTATTAAAAAGTTATAAAAGATATTAAACACTGACCCTCCAATAGATAATCATTCTCTCATTTACTTTCAACTATACAGTTTATCCATTTTTAAGTGACATTGACATGACACAGTGACATTCTTACTAGCTACTTTACAGGTTGGTCAGTTGGTGTTGACCAAACTCAGTTGCTGTAACATACTTGCCAATGACAAATGATTTGTTTTTGATGGAGACCAACAATGTACCGTCAAGCACGCTCTTTGTTAACTTGCAGGAAAGGCAATGCCTTAATAGTATATAGGATTAGTTTAATTTCATTGTCAGAACAATAAAAGCATAAAGATTAAAATGAATATATATAAAAAACACATAAATAATAATAAAAGGCAATTTAAGTAATTCTAAAAAAAGCTTTAGGAAAAAAAGTTTTAGGAAAAACATGAATTTTGTATGTAAAATTTGTATAAAATAACACACACGCACATATATACAGAGTTCCCACACCTCCTTAAAAACCTTAAATATCCTTAAAAAATAAAAACCTCCTTAAATGTTCTTAAATAACTTTAACAAAAGTTAAAATTTGACTGCTCTCCTTAATTTCTCCTTATTTTTTTTTTATTAATTATCTAGAAAATTTTGTGAATGGATTATACTTGTTAATAAAGAAGATAATATATAGATTTTTGATAGTTTTCAAACCTATTTTTATTATTATTATATATATATATATATATATATATATATATATATATATATATATATATATATATATATATATATATATATATATATATATATATATATATATATATATATACATATATATATATATATATATATATATATATATATATATATATATATATATATATATATATATATATATATATATATATATATATATATATATATTAATATTTATATATATATAAAGTAATAATTTCTCTGTTTATATTTAAAACTTATTGAAATAATAAGATTATGTTTTTAATGTAATTGTTTTCCCCTTATTTATCCTTACTTTTTCTTTCAAAAAAATGTTGTTCGCGACCAAATCTCCTTAAATAATAGGAAAATATCTCCTTAAATCTCCTTAAAATCCTTAATTTTAGCTTTAGTTTTAATAGTGGGAACCCTGATATATATATATATATATATATATATATATATATATATATATATATATATATATATATATATATATATATATATTATATATATATATATATATATATATATATATATATATATATATATATATATATATATATATATATATATATATATATATATATACATATAGTTGAATGTCTTTGTACACTAAGCCTAGCATGAAATGTCATTGATGATTGCCGACACTGATGATTTGCAGTGGGTTTCAGTACACAATCAACTTAGTGTTTTTCTAGACAGAAAAGAAAAGGAATTTTTTTTTCTCAATTTTTTTTCACACTTTATGTTAAAACATAAAGTATGCAAAATATTAATACTGTTAGAGTTTAACTATTTTATTTGTATTTACTTAGAGCTTAAGAACTGCTTGTACACATTTCCAAACTGCAGCTGGAGCATATCAGTTTCTGAAAGTAATTGTTTTTAAAATATTAATTTGTGTTATACTTTAGTTTTAAAAATAAAATTATAATTGTTTTTATTATAATAAGTTTTAAACATAAAATGAATTATAAAAGTAGTTGTAACCATGTATGTTTAGACTCGAGATTTAAATTTGTTGAATTTTATATTAATTCACTAGAGTGTTTAGAAGCACAATAATGATTATGATAACAATGATGACAACAATGATGATCATGATCATTGTGTCATATCATATCATCATAATTGTCATCATCATATCACCATCATCATCATTTTCATCATCATCATCATCATCATCATCATCATCATCATCATCATCATCATCATCATCATCATCATCATCATCATCATCATCATTATCATCATCATCATAATTGTCATTACATCATCATTGTCATTACATCATCATTGTCATTACATCATCATCATCATTATAATTGTCATCATCATTGTTGTCATTTTCATCATCGTCACCATCATCAACGTCACCATCATCATTGGCATTGTTATTTCCTTACTTTATTATAAGTTTTTAGGTACTGTCTTTGTTTTGGCTTGTATATGAATGATGTAAAGTCAATTTTGATAAGGAAATATTTGTGTAAAATAAAGTTTGTATAAATCCTAAAATAAAATTTGATAAATCTTAGGAAAATTTTTCTCTTGGAGAATTTACTGATATGTCTGAAGATATTCTAACAATGAAGTATAATGTCATGCTGGTACATATTTATTTATAGACAACATTTATTTATAACTTATAAAAAAGTTCTATTTATTTTAGTATAATTTTTTTTGTATTTTGTATTTTAATATTTTAATAATTAATAATTATTAGTATAATTTTTTTTTGTATTTTGTAGGGGCAAGCATTGGAATGCATTTTAGAGAAATCAATACGTGATAATCGTAATGCGATACTGATTGCACGTGTCTGCATACAGGTTAAAAATTAAGTTATCAAGTGATACTGTTTTCCTTAAGTTATAATGAATTATAATTTAAAATGTTTACTATTCATCAAACATTTTAAACTATATATTTAAAATGTTTAATTTTCATTTATTATCAAAAATGAAATCAAGTATATTTAGCTTATTGTATAGCTATTTTATTCTAGGTTGTTGAGTATTTTGACGATGCTGCAAGTTTATTGGATAAGCCTGGTACATCAGAGATTGCATCTTCTACAAGAAAGGTTTTTTGTAGAGCTTTTAGTTTATTTACATTTAAATTATGTTAAGAATTGTTGTTAACATTATGTGTAATCTTTATTTAGAGTTGGATTAAACATTTAAAAATAAAATCATTTTCTTATCATGCCCTGGCTTATGTAAGTTATTTTGTGTCAGTTAATTACATTTGAAACTCAGTAAACTTATTTCCTTGTTGTTTTTAAATACTAAATTTTGTCGCAAAAAATTATAATGATGACACTAATAATTATAAGAAAACAATAATAATAAAATATTTACTTCTACAGTTTACATTATAGGTTATTATTTACTATATGACTTGTTATGTACTATACATAGAGTTTTTTCCGGGAATTCCCGTATTTCCGGAAATTCACTCAAAACTACTTTAATTTTCCAGAATTTTCCTGATGTTTTTTGTTATTAATTTGAAAAAAAAATTATATATTTTTACATAAAGTTTTAAAAATGATAATTTTTGCATTTAAACAAATATTTTTTCTATAGTTAAAATTTTCACGAGATCAATTTTCATATCAATTTTTTTTTTTTTTTTTAATTTGTTAAAATTAACTTTTTCGAATATTAGAAATTCGTTTTTGTAAAAAGTTAAAAAATTTTAAAAGTCTACAAAAGTTTTTGTTTTCACTTAATACGATCAATTTTTAATAAAATAATTTTCTGTGATTTACTGTCATTTTCATAAAAAAAAATTTCTGGGATTTTCATAAAGTCAAATATTCAACTATGACTATATGACTACATAGTTGTTGTTATGTACTATATGACTATGTGCTATATATGTATGTTAAACTTTTTGTCTTACTATAGACTTACATGTCAAATGATGCTTCAGAAAAAGAGATGTATGGTGCAAAGGTAAGCAATTTAATTTAAAATTTTTTATGAAATTCGATAAGTTAATATTTAAACCAAGCAACTCAGTTAGTGGAGAGTGTGTATGAAAGAGCCAGTTTTAAAAAGGTATGAAAAAAAGTCAATTTTGATTAATTAAAAAAAAAAATTCTTTAATTAAATAGTTACTTTATTGGGTAATATTATAAAATTTAAATAAATTGGATAACAATGCTAATAATCTGTCATACACCTATTTTGAAAAAAGAGAGAAATCAGTTCTTTCATAACATCTTGTCAATGAAAGAGCCACTCTGTACTATAAATGGGTCGTAACGTTTTTTCTAAAACTAACAAGTCTTTTAAGAGTAATAATCTATTAACTAGACTTCTAAAAATCAGATTGTACTTTAAGTTATATAATTCTATGATAATCATTGGTAAAACAAATGATAAAACAGCTTTAATAATAGTTTCACTATATTATTAAAAAAATACGTCGCTTTTCGTAGTTAATACTTGCAAAGACATGTTTTTTTTTAAAGATAAAAAATATTAAATGAGAATGAAAAAAAAGTATTAATATACACTAGTCAAACGTTTATAAAAAAAATTTGTATACACTAGTCAAAAGAACAAATTGTTTTGACTACATCTTGACGATAAATGTTATCTATGAATCATAGTAATTATAAGACATTTCACATATATTAACTATGCTAGTGATATATGAGTGAATACAATAATACGAAATAAGTTTTGACAAAATGTGTGGAAGTTTGAAACAAAAATAAATTTTAATTATTAAAAAAAAAATTATATCAGCTTTAGTAAAAACTTTATTATTATTTGAGTATATTTTTAAAGATTCAAACACACCTACGTTTTATGACTTCAGGAAAATTCATTCAAACAATTAATTTCTATAGAATATGATCAATGAATCATTACGAAAAACAATGAAGTCGTTAATGCGCAAAACAGTTATTTAATTTTAAAAAAAGCTAAATAGAAAAGGCCGGCTTTTTCATAGCATAAAAAAGTGGCTCTTTCAAAAAATTTTATGGTAAAAAAAAATTACCTGAAATTAAACATTTTCTACCGAAACTTTAATCTAATATTATTTGTGGAAAAGAAGGACACATATATATATAACAATGCAGCATATATGTTTTATCAAATAATAAAATACTCTTTATCTTAAAAATAAATAAACCCCCAAAAAATTACTTTTTATTTTCAAAATTTTTAGTGCACACTTTCGATGCTATTTATTTTAGTAGAATAAATTTTTTGTGGATGACGGGTATCCAGCGTTGCCACACAAAAAGTAAAATACAATCATGGTCAGATGCCAGTAAGTTAGATATAATAGCATTGGCTCTTTCAACACCTGGCTCTTTCATACACACTCTCCTCTATTATCTAATGTTTCAAAATAGGATTTTATATCTTATGTTATAAAATCAGAATTTTTCAATGATCAAATATGTATAGGTTTGTTACTTGCAAGCTGCTTTAAAGAAAATCACGGAAGCTACCAAGTTGCTTAAGGTTTTATATTTAAAGTTTAATTTGACTTACCACTCTTTATCATTTATTTTATTAATTTAAAAGCTTGTTTCTTATTTTTTACTAACTTTTTACTTTATGTTTGACTTGACATGCAAACTAATGGCTAGTGTCAGTTTGCACTAATAGTTTTATTATGCAAATTAAAGTGTAATTAAAAAAGGGAAGAATATAAAAATAATTTTTTTAGAAATTTATTTTATAATTTTTTCTGTTATAATTTCAATTTCTATGAAAGTTTGTTTTCATTACTAAATTTTTTTGTAGTAGTTAACTGTATTATTGGTATATTTACACTATATTTATAGCATTGCTATGTTTACACTATATTTATATTTTTATACTTTGAAGTTAACATCCTTTTGTAGAACCTTTTTAATAATTGTCATGAGGCCCTCTGTAAGTTCTCTGTCAGCTTTTCTCATGCAAGTGATACAGTTCTTCTGCAGTCGAGTTGTTGTATAATATTTTAAACTAGTTTTCATATTATATTATTAATTTATAGAAATAAAAATTTTAATCTAGAAACAACCTATCCAAGTTGTGGAATCAGTACAATTTATGGCAGATGTTGTTAACCAAAAGTAAGCAAATATTAAAATTAGTTTTTTTTTTTTATATAAAATATTTATTTAGTGGACGCATAACGTTTTATGTATTATGAAGGTATTGCTATATATGATTTTTATTATCTAATTAGAACACATGGGTCTCATTTTTTTTTTTTTTAAATTATGAAATTTTTTATGTATCAGTAAATTTGGCAATAATGGCAGCAATACAATCATTCAAGCGGTTTTCTAACTTTTGGATGTCGTTCTTGTTGAAAGATTTATTTTTGCCTTTAAATAAATATTGGTTGTCTGTTTTTTTGCTTAACTTTTTTTTTGCTATGGCTGCAGAAGCAATTCAAAGCCTAATTTGTGTGTGTTTTTTTGTATGTTTTTTTCAGTGACTTAAGGAATGTTCAAACAAAATTTTTTTTTACCTTTTGCAGCCTCTTTTTGATGAATCTGATTAGTCTGGCAGGTAGTTGCATATAGTAGGTGCTACTCTTAGCTGGCTTTTGATTTGATTCTAGAGTAAAATAGTGAGTCCATATTTTACTCATAACAGTTTACAGACATAAAAACTCATTCTTTTGCTTAAACATGTCCAAACAACAATTAGAATAATTAGTTAGTTTTTTTTATTTAAGTTGAGTAAACGCTTATATTTGGAAAATAACACTTATATTCGGAAAATAACTTTTTCACATGCATTTTCAGAGTTTTAAGAATTTTACTCAAACATATGTTTGTCTATAATATTAAAAAATTTGCATTATGATAAGGTAGGGTGTAAGCTATCTTTTGTAACTTTGTTTGTTTTTATTTATAGAGCAGAGTTCTTGAAACACTCAGACCTTTTCAAAGTAGTAACAATAGATCTATTGCTCTGCTTGAACTGTATTTTTCCCTATTAAATAACTATGATAAATCAAATCACAAAACTAGGAATAACAAAAAGTTTTTAGTTATTCACAGTAATTTCTAAACAAATCATTAAATTGTTATAAATATTTATGTGGATATATATGTGGATACATATTTTTTTAGAGGGGTTATTTGGTGGTTAGGCCTAAGACCTTTTGACCCATGTGTTATTTTACGAAATCATGTAGTTTTTTGAAATTTTTAAAATTCTTTTTTACTTAAATATCCTTAAAAGGTATGATGCTGCAAAGAAAGATAACGATTTTGTTTATCATATGTTAGTACCTGAACTTTCTTCTATGGAAGAAATAAAAGGTGTTAACCTTATCAAACCAATACCGTTTCAGTACAATGATGCTGCTATTGCTGGTGTTGACATCTTTCACAAACTGGTCCCAATGAAGGCTCATGAGCTGTCATCTATTTACAGGTTTTTTGTATAATTTGCTTTAGTTATTAATTAATTTTATTTTTCTATTTAAATAATATTTTTTTGAAGTTTTAAAAAAATTTAAAATATTTTTATTGACATAGTCTTAATTATTTCTATTGGTTACTGCAACATTTAAAAAATCTTTAACTAGATGAGTTCACTTTATTTTTTTTAATGAAATGGTTTTGAAGTCAAAAACGATTCAACTAATTGAGAAAAAAATTGATGAAACTTTTTTTTTAAAACAATTTTATTCTATGTAGTTAAAAGTATTCTTCCAGAATTTTAAGATTTTTCATCTCAAAGGAGATGAAACTTTTCATCTTAAATAGCTTCAGCTTAATTTGGCTTTTCCTCTATAAAATTTTTCTTAAGTCAAAAAGAAACTTTCTCAACAACTACAGCTACACTTATCTCAGCATTTTAACCATAATACTAGAATCAAAATGTAAATCTTGCTTTCTTTAAGCAAGTAGATTTAGAATTAAGAAACTCTTACTGACTTCTTATTGGAATGAGATTATGTTTAAGGAGGGTATCTGCAAAATGTTTAGCATTATCTGAAAAATGCTTCAACAAATTAAGATTGGTATTACCTAATATTTTAACATGCTTCCACATGTTATTAGTTTTGTTTAAGAATGAGTTTTAAAAATGTTTTAAAATTATTGTTTGGTTGTCCACAAATAATATTGATAGTTATGTTTTTTGAGTTTTTACTAATTGTATGCATTATTTGCAATCTTTTTTATTCACATTAAGAACCTTATGCAAAGAAAAGTTAATTTAATTGTGAATATAAATGTTAACGCTTTTTTATATGGTAGTAAATCAGAAGTCTAATTGTTTAATTCTAATTTTTCAATTTATTTTACCACATTTACATCAAGTTTCTGTTAAATAAATAATGTTTAAGTTTTTTTTTTTTTTTTTTTTTTTTTTTTTTTTTTTTTTTTTTTTTTAACATCTTCACTTCCAACAAGGCTGCAAGCAACCACTATAAGAGTTGGAAGTTACTGGAAGAGAAAAGACTAAATCTGTAGAGCAAGATAACGATTGACTGATGACTTAAAAGATTGCAAATTATATGAATCAGGAAAGCAAGATGAAGGAAGCGAATTCCAAAGAACTGATGTTCGAGGAAAAAAACTAGAAGAATAAGAGTTTTTGAAGCACTTAGGAACAATCACAGAAAAAGGATGAGACTTAATTGAATGGCGAGTAACACGAGAGTGAATTTTAGTAGATGGCACAAGGGACGCTAGCTCTTTAGAGCAGTGCCCATTATAGTATTTGTAGAAAAGAGAAAGAGAAGCAACATTACGACGATGTGACAAAGGTTGGAGATTGGCTGCAAGAGCAGGTCCAACTATGTTTACAATTCGTTTTTGCACCTTGTCTAAAAGAAAAAGAGCATCATTAGAAGATCCGCCCCAGATGTGGCAACAGTATTCCATACAGGGACGGATTTGAGATTTATAGAGATAGAGAATAGAATCTGGAGTAAGAAAGTGTCGAGCTCGATAAAGAGATGCAACCTTAGCAGATGCTAATTTTGCAATGGATTTGATATACGGTTTAAAAGAAAGATCAGAAGTAAGAGTTAATCCTAGAAGATGAATGGTAGATGACTCATCTAGTACATTACCATTCATAAATATAGGAAGATCTAAATTATTACGATAACGATTGGCCGAATAAAATTGAGTTTTATCTGAATTAAAGTTCACCAGCCACTGTGAGCCCCATGCTGTAGCAGTTATGTTTTTCCATCAAAAAGTTCAAAATTTCTGTTAAGAATATATTAATTAAGGTTGAATTATATTTTATTTGTCTCATTCAAAAAATCTTTGTTGTAAAAATTCATTTTCCTGATGCTGAACATCATTTTTCAAGGTTTTTTATAGTTTAACAGTAATTTAAAATTTTTCAAGTTTTTAGTTCTTTATGTTCTTAAATTTGTCTTTCATTTTCATGTAACCTGTTAATTCTTCTTTTTTTCTACTATTTTTGTCTTCAAAGTTTCTTGTCTTTTCTTTTAGTTTGTGACTTAAAGGGATATCAAACCTCCAAAACATGTTGTATTAATATTAAAGAGAATGATAAAAAAAGGTTTGGGTTAAATTTTTTTGATTAAAACAACAGAATAAATGCATGCCAAGAAAAAGTAATTTTTTTTTTTAATTAAAGCTTGCCTTCTCAGTTTTGTTGTAAGTCAAATAGTTTTGATATATACACAACAATCTACAGACTTAATAATTTATTCAAGTGCATTTTATTCCTAAGAGTTTTAGAAAATGATGTCATTGATTTTTTTGTTTGTTTAAAAGAATAATTATGGAAACAAAGAAAAAAATCGATGACATCATGTACTAAAACCCTTAAGAAAAAAACACGCTTGAATAAATTATCAACTAAAAAAAGGTTTCTTTTTCTTGGCATGCATTTATTTTGTTGCTTAAATTTTAGCCCAAACATTTTTTTGTACTATTCTCTTTAATTTGAACACAACGTGTCTCAGAGGTTTGAGATCTCATTAAGCTCTTTGCTTTATTGCAAATTATTTATTAATGCTTTATTTACTGCAAAGTTGTTTTTATTTGGAATGTTTTATTTGAAACATTTGTGATTTTACTGTTAATCCCTTATAAAGTTTTTTATAGATAGTTGTTATTTTTTCATTGTTCAAAGTATATTGTTTAAACCCCCTTTTTTTTTGTTGGTCGTAGGTTACATAATTCAATGTATGTACACTTGAAATAAAAATTAAAATATTAAAAAAAATATTTTTTTCAAGAAACTTAAAACGTTAAAAAAAGTTATTAGATTATTTAAAAAAAAGCAAAATCAAGAAAAAAATAAAAAGTCACTTACAAAAAAAAAATTACAATTAAAAAAAAAAAAAATTCATGTAATTCCATAATTAATTTAATGGTTTTAACTTAGAGGTGAAATTGAGAAGTTGTTTATTTGTTGCAGTTACTAAATAGATAAAATTAAGATTATAAGCAGCTGTGGTGCGGTGGTTAGAATTCTGGCTCAGAACCAATAGGTCTGAGGTTCAAGCTTTTGTAACTTTTTTACATAAGCGTCATTCAAAAGTTTAAGTGTTTTTTTTAATAAAATTAACACTTATCAGCTAATTTTAAAGTTAAATAAGTCATATTTTTTCTTTAGTCATATGCTTAACAAACAACACTTGATATATATATATATATATATATATATATATATATATATATATATATATATATATATATATATATATATATATATATATATATATATATATATATATAAACATGAATTAAATTTTAACAAACAAGGCCTGATATATATATATATATATATATATATATATATATATATATATATATATATATATATATATATATATATATATAAACATGAATTAAATTTTAACAAACAAGGCCTGATATATATATATATATATATATATATATATATATATATATATATATATATATATATATATATATATATATATATATATATATATATATATATATATATATATATATATATATATATATATATATATATAACCCTTGTATACTCATATATATATATATATATATATATATACAAAGGGTTGAAATAAGGAAATCTGGAAAAATTTATAAAAAATTTTTACAACAAAGATTTTTTGAATGAGACAAATAATATACAATTCAACCTTAATTAATATACCCTTATTAGAAACTTTGAACTTTTTGATGGATAAAATAAAACAGCATTTAATTGATAGCATTGTAATTCCAAATTTTAGTTGTAGAAATGCAACTAAAAAATATAGAACAGATATTTAAATAATAATAAAAACTTCAGGAACTTTAACTTATACGTAATTTATAAACAGTTTAGCATTTCTAAACTGTTACTAATGGTCTGGAAAAATGTGCGTTAGTTTTAATATCAACCAATAAAAGTTTTTATTGGTTGATTTTAAGATTGATGAGTGTTTTTCTGGACCATTAGTAACAGTAAATGCTAAACTGTAAAAAAAAAAGTACACTTATTTGTAAAAGTTCCTGAAGTTTTAAGTATTATATAAATAGCCATTCTATTTTTTCTAATTGTTTTTTTATTTCAATTAAAGTTTGAGATTACTTATGTTATTTTTATATAAGGTTACTGATGTTATAAAGTTTGAAATTACTTATGTTATTTGAATAAAATATGAATTATAAACAAGTTTTAAGCAAAAAGGAAAACTTTTTTTTTGCCTAGAACTTGTTGATATTATAAAAACAAAAAAAAACCAGCAAAAGCAAATGTTTTGCTTGCATCAAAGTATTTGATGAACAAAAAAGATTTTTTATAATTAAAAAATGCTTTTATTTTTTTTACCGGTTTTTACATCCATTTAAAACAATCATGACAACCATTTAAAACAACCATGACATTCATTTAAAACACCGCGACAATCAATTAAAACAATGTGATTTTCAATTCAAACAATCGTGACTTTCAATTAAAACATTTAACGCATGCGCAACCTCAACATTCTAATTTATTTAAAAAAAAAGGTTTTATTTATATACTTATTTATTTAAATTTATTTTTTATTAATATCATATTAATTTATTTTAATTTAATGCAATTTATTTTAATATTAAACGGATGCCATACTTGTTTTAAATGGATGAAAAGCCCGGTAAGGCGTACACACATGTATACATATTTATTAAGCTTCAATTATTCCATGCCGTTTAGGTACACATTTTTACATGGCCTTATCTTATTGGTAAAACAACCATAACGTTCATTTAAAACATCCATGATAATCAACACCTTTTTATAATGTTTATTTTGTCTGAGTCAGTAACTGCGCGTTTAGGTACTTTGGGTAAGGTGTTCTCTTCATACTCGAAAGGCCGTGGTTCGAATATCCGTTTGAACAATTTTACTTCTTTTTCTTTAATATCTCGTTGCTCGTATGTTTTGCTGTGACGCCATTCCTCTATATAGAATAGATATCTCTCAACATCAAACCTCTCAGTGTATTTTCTAAATAAGGGGTACACACGTTTACCGGATTTCGCATCCATTTAAATATGTCATCCGTTTAATATTAAAATAAATTGCATTAAATTAAAATAAATTAATATGATATCAATAAAAAATAAATTTAAATAAATAAGTATATAAATAAAACCTTTTTTTAAAAATAATATAGAATGTTAAGATTGCGCATGCGTTAAATGTTTTAATTGAAAGTCATGATTGTTTTAGTTGAAAATCACATTGTTTTAATTGATTGTCGCGGTGTTTTAAATGAATATTATGGTTGTTTTAAATGGTTGTCATGATTGTTTTAAATGGATGTAAAAACCGGTATCTACCCTTCATCTTCTAGGATTAATTCTTACTTCCGATTTTTCTTGGAAACCTTATATCAAATCCATTGCAAACTTAACATCTGCCAAGGTTGCATCACTTTATCGACCTCAACACTTTCTTACTCCGGATTTTATTCTCTATAAATTTAGCAGAAAATCGGCGTCATTTCGCCAAAAAACAATATTTGACATAAAAAACGTAAAAAAACAAAACAAAACAAAAAAAACCAAATACCGTCAACACTTTCAAAAACCCCAGATATATATATATATATATATATATATATATATATATATATATATATATATATATATATATATATATATATATATATATAGATAAATATATATATATATATATATATATATATATATATATATATATATATATATATATATATATATATATATATATATGTATATATATATATATATATATATATATATATATATATATATATGTGTATATATATATATATATATATATATATGTATATATATATGTATATATATATATATATGTATATATATATATATATATATATATATATATATATATATATATATATATATATATATATATATATATATATATATATATATATATATATATATATATATATATATATATATATATATACACACACACACACAACCACGCAAGCTGGCTTTAGATCACAGAAAATATCACTAGAGCCATGTTCTATCTATTTTGAAATAAATTTTCCTCAGGAAGTAAAATGTTTCAAAATGAGAAAAATATATTCAAATACCTACTCATGTAAATTAACTCCTTTAAATATATTATATATTTAGCTGTTTGAATTTTTTTTTTTATTACAAAAATGCAACTTTTTTGAATAAAAAGTTTTTGTATTTTTAATTAATATATTACGTTTATTAGTAACTTTATTTTTCCAGTGAGGTTAAAGATAATCATTTGCGAAGTATCACAAATCTAATTGATGTTAAAAACACTGAATTAAGGTTTCTTATTTTTTTTTTTTTTTTTTGTTGCTGTTGTTGTTTTTATTTATTAATTTTTTTTAAATTGTTTTTTTTCTATTGCTAGAGTTATTGCTGATAATATTATTCTAATTAAAAATTAATTTTTCAAGCCAATATATGTCTGCTATGAATATTGAAGAACTGCTTAATCCAAAAGGAGATTGCCTTCCAGGTTATTTGACTTTATACATCAAAACTTTTTAATAGAAAAATAAAAAATTTGTTAGTAGGGGGAACTGAACTGGTTGGTAACAAGGGTAACTCGACACACTGCGTTTAACTTTGCTTTCTTCTAAATATAAATTTCCAGAATTCATATGAAACTTTTTTTATTAATTTCTAAAACTATATTACTTTTAAATTTTCAAAAAAAAAAATGGTTTGGGTTAGCCTGCACAATAATTAAGGGCTATTTGTTCTTTGGGTAGTTGAGTCTCGCATCATTAGTAATTTATTATTTTACACTTTTGACAACTGTAATCATGTAATATATTTGTAACTCTTCATATTACAATGAAATTCTGTTTGACCAAAGTGTCAACAACAAAAAATCTGTGGTAATATCTAAATACTTCACAATAATATATCATGTTTAGTAGTACTAAATGTTGTATATAATATAATAATACTAAATGTTATATATAATATAATATTGCTAAATGTTATATATAACATTGTATTGCTAAATGTTATATATAATATTATAATGTTAAATATTATATATAATGTAATAATGCTAAATGTTATATACAATATAATAATGCTAATTGTTATATATAATATAATAATATAATAATAATATAATATAATAATATAATGTTATATATATATAATATTACAAAGTAAACATAATAATGTTATAATAATAATAATAAAAAATTTTAATACAAAAAAATTGTATTGTATAATATACATATAAAGATTTTTTTGTTATTGTAGATGAGTTGGTTTTAAAAAATCAATTTCTTCGTGACAACCCTGACATCATTTGTAAAGTTGAAAAAGATACAGAAGGTAGGTTAATACATTTTGTCAATTGATTACATAAAATAAAAAAAGTATATAAAGTTTAGAAATATAGTAAAACAAGTAAATTATTTTTGTATATAAAATAAAATGACAAAAAAAAGTTCTAAGCCTTACATAATAAGCTGTTTTTAATTTTTTTGTATCACAAAAGTGGAAGAACTCTCTTCGTTCTAGCAACTCCATACTTGTTGGCTACTATAAAATTTTGTTGCAATGATTTAAATGTCATTCACACAAGACATACATTCAAATGAGCTGCATCTTAATCGTGTCTTGATGTTGTTAAAACAACATCAAGAGGTTGTTTAATTTAAATAGCTTTTTGTGCTTTCTAGGAGGAATTAAAACCAGTTCTAAATTTGATGTAAATGAAGTTATAAAACATATTTTAAATACTACTGTTAAAACTTGTTTTATTGTTGGCGTGAATGGGATATTAAATACTTAAAGTTATTATTAGAATAATATTATAAATAATGATATTAAGTTATTTCAATTAATTTATTAAAAAAATAATTAAAAGAAACTCAAGCAGCTAAATTTCAAAACTTTTAAAAGTTAAAAATTAAAACTATTAAGAAATTTACACAAAAGAAATAATTTTACCAAACATTGATCTCTCAAAAGTTTTTTAAAAAACAAATAATATTGTGTCAATATTAGAAGAAAAAAAAATAGCAAAAAAAAAAAAACAAGTTCCATTATTTTATATATAAATGTTATATATATATATATATATATATATATATATATATATATATATATATATATATATATATATATATATATATATATATATATATATATATATATATATATATATATATATCAGGGGCTATTTTAGGCCGTTTACAATAATGTCCACTGTATTTGGTTGCCGGCCAAATTAAAAATTGAGGGCTTTTTTTTTTTTAAATATTTTTACGGCTAGTATGTTTTTTTCGCAAAAAAAAAACGCCTGTTTTCTGCTAAAATTTTCCAAAGTGAATAATTTGTCCCACCACCCAAATTTTTTTCCTATAATAGCCCTGTATATATATACTAATTTTTGATTGGAATTAAATAATTGGATATTATAGATTACAGTTGAATAGTTTTTAAAAATTATGTAAAATTCGTACCTTGTAAACTGCCACTATTTTTATATTAACTGGTTTTCTTTTAGCATTGTTGATTACAAGATTTTAATTATTAATTAGTAATATAGAATTATTGTTTATAAAGTACTTGTGTTTTTTAATTTTTAAAATAATTTTTTTTTTTAGAACTCACTGTTTTAACTTCCTCAGTTGAATTTATGTTGAATGATATTAAAAAAATGCTGGAAAGTATAGTTGATAGTAAGGTAAGAAATAGCAATTTTATTAAATGTAGACATTGGTTTTTATAATTTATAATTGACACTTTTTATAGTTTATAATTGTTATATTTATAATAGCACTTTTTATAGTTTATAATTATAATGATCTTGTACAAATAAGGTTTTTATTATGTAAGTCTTGTTTGTATGAGCCTACAAATTATGTGAGCGCCAATGTAATGAGGACATTTTTTGTATGAGTGTACAAAGAATAACCACCTTAAAATAAAACATTAAAGTTTACAAAAAAAAAATCTCTGAGAAGGAATTGAACTCCCAACGTTCGTCTCAAAAGGAGAGTATCATTACACTATTGATAATAATGCAAATATATTGATGTAACACAAAAATCATATTTGTGGACTATTTGTGGACATTTTTTTTATTAATTTAAAAATACTAATTTTCCATATAAACATACATTTATTTGTTTCCTTTTTTTATATATATTTTAATTTTTTCAATATTAACATTGATCATAAAAAAATACATAATTATATATAAATAAGAGTGATTTTAAAAGCATTTTTATTGTAAAAAAATATCAATAAAGAACAAGGATATTTAATTGTAATGGCAATTAAAAATTTTTGTCATTTTTTTTGTCAAAATTTTTTGTTTTTTAACAATTTTTTAACAAAATCTTTTTGCGCGTTTTAACTTTAAGGATTTTTATGCAATGTTTATTATTTAGTCAGTTATACACTTAATTATTTTAATATTTATCAAAATAATAATTAAAGAGGCTATCGCTGTCTAAAATAAAGTGTTGTTTATAAAATTGAAATATTTTTTTTTGACATTTAATATAAAAAATAACATTTATTATAAAAAACTTTCAAAATGTAGTTTCATTATTATTTCAGATAGTCAAAAGGGAATTATCAAAAAAAAGTTATAAAGCTAAAAAAGTAAAAGAATAAATTTATCGTTAAAGAACTTAAGAAAGACTTTTGGAGTAAGACTTCTTAATTGCTTCTTATAGAACTTTAAATAAAAAAAAAAAATTGGAACTGCAGAAATAATCAATTGTCATCCTTTTGAGTGACTTAATTGAGTCAGTGAAATGTTTTTAGTTGCTTTTCACAAAATTTGGTTGTCTGGTACCATCAAGTGACCACAAGTGTAAACCTCTGATATATATATATATATATATATATATATATATATATATATATATATATATATATATATATATATATATATATATATATATATAAATGTTATATGTTATATGTTATATATTATATATTATATATATATATTATATATATATATATATTATATATTGTATATATATGTATTTATATTTATATATATAAATATAATTATTATAAAATTATTGTTGAAAAATTTTTTAAACTTGTTTTCAGAGCGAAAACACTGAAATTTTAAGTCTTAAAGATGAATGTGAAAAGTGGACATCAGCTCATGTTCAAGCGGTGAGTAATTTAAAAAGATGTTTTTTTGAAAAACTTTTTGAAATAATGGTTTATTTATTTTAAACACATTTTTCGCATGATGCGAAGTTGGGTGAAGTATTTGTCTACCAGGTTCTAAATTAATGTTAATATATTATTCATATACAGTATCGGACAAAACAAATGCAACCAAATAATGCTAATATAGTTTCTTTATATAAAAGTGTTGCACTTTTTCAATTTAAAGAAATAACTATGTAACTGTTTAGAGACAACGTTATTCAAGTTTTATTCATCACAAAGTTCATTATTTGTACACAAAAATTAATTAATCAAAAGTATTAAAAAAAGTTGATTTCTTTCTGGGCAAAACAAGTGCAACTCCACAAAATGTTGATCCAAGCTTTATTTCGCTATCAATATTTCGTGGCGAATTAATTCTGCGGTTAACAATCTCTCACAGGTTCTTGATAGGGTTGAGATCCGGAGATTGAGGCAGCCAATCCATCACCGATAGGTGGTTGTCTTGAAACCACTGCTTTACTACTTTTGCAGTGTGTTTCGGATCATTCTCTTGCTGAAAAACCCATTTTATTGACATATTCCACTCAGCATGAGGTAACATAACATCTTTCAGGATATTTTTATACATGAAACGGTCCATTATTCCATCGATTCGATGTATTGGACCTAGACCGTTAGCAGAAAAACGCCCCCAGACCATTACATTGCCTTCACATATGCTTCACAGTCTTATGGCAGTAACGTAAATCAAGGCGTTTTCTGGCCGGTCGACGTACACAGCAAATGCCATCGCTCCCAATGATGTTGAACTTTGATTTATCACTGAACAGGACAGTTTGCCATTTCGACACACTCCAGTCAATATGAGATGTAGCAAACAGGAGTCTTTTCTTCTGGTTCTTTAGTAAAATCAGCGGTTTCTTTGCAGGGTGTCGAGAAAACAATCCAGCTTCAACAGCACGTTGTCTGATTGTTCGGTCCAATACAAGCAGCTCTAATTGCTTTTGTATCTCGACTGATGATATCCAGGGATCTTTCTAGACGGATCTGACAATCATAGAATCCTCTCTAGAAGTGGTGGAATGTGGTCTTCCTTCTTTGTTATCTGCTGCCAATTTCCCCATAGAACAATATTTGGAACATAGTCTTTATACGGTCTATTTTTTCACGCGATATTTATCACAAATACTTTTTTGTGATATTCCACTTATCGCCAATAATTTTCTTTCTTAGTTCCAATCCAAGACTGTCGGGAAGCCATTTTTGCACTTGAAGTCATAAAAATAATAAAAATAAATAATCATGCTTCTCAAGGCTTACCGTGTTACATATACCTTGTGATGATACAATAATGTTCTGTGAAACACAACGTCTTAGTTGGATGTGGACTGTATTGATGTAATAAAACACTTGTTGTATTTCACTTCTTGTATTGATGTTCTTGGATAAAACACTTTGATAAAACTCACTTCGATAAACTGTCTTGATAATACTGACTGATTAACTTCAATATACTGACTGAATTCCTTAAAAGTTATTGACTATTCATAGATTATTATTATAGTTATAGATTATTCATTTTTCATTCTTTGCAATGACATCGCAAATGGAGGATGTTTTTATTTAACGGTAAAAAAAGAAAGAAATAAAATGGAGAAAAAAAAATTAAAATACCATTTTAAAAAATATCAAATTATAAAACAAAATGAAGTAAAAACAAGATCAAAAGATATAAACAAATAAAGATAAAAAGCAAGTCAAAATAACGTACGAAATAGAAAAAAAAAGATTCGGTAAAAGAAAAAATAGTTCGAAAATGTAAAGTAAAAAAAAAAAAAAAATATGAAATGAATTATGTTAGTCTACCAGAAACAATAATGTCATTGAAAGAAAAGAACAAGAAAAAACTTTTAAATTTTGTTTAGTGAATACATTGTTTATATTGATGTGTATTTTTATTGTTATATTTTTATGTCATGTATTTTTGTGTATGCATTTAATGCATTTTTTACTTTTATTAATCTTAGTTTTATGTATAATAAGTGTTTTTCTGTTTATATTTTCTTTATTTGTTTATTTTACTTACAATATATTTTTGTTATTATATTATAAAAACTAAAATTATTATATTTATCGAGAGTCTTTGTATTCTTTTATCGATAATCGTTTTTATGTCATCGTTATTAGTTACGTTTTGTTAGTTTATTACTGTTTGTAACTGTAACTATGTATATATAATTGATTGTTGTATGGAAGATTGCATTAATTTAATTCTTTTAGTTACTGGTTTTTATAATTTTTGTTGACGTATTTAATGAACAGCCTTCTATTAAATATTTATTTAACAATTCCGTTATATATGTATTATATTTATTATTATCATATTTTTATTTTATTCATTATTATGGGGTGTTAATTATACTTATTGGTACTATTATTATTGTTATTCTTATTATTATACAATTACTTTTATTATTGTTGTTTTGTTAATTTATTGCTATTTTTTTTATAACTATAACTATGTCTATAATATGTTTCATGTCATCAAAGAGGTTTTTACTTTATATTAGTTTTTATAACTGTTTGTAACGAACGTGGAAGTTAGATCTTTTTCCAGAATATATATATAATTGATTAATTGATTGATTGAATTACATGTCGGTTTACATGTCTGTTATATAGTAAAATGAAACCTGTGTGAACCTGTTCTAGAAGATTCTAGATGCTTCTTTTCGATGCTTCTGGAAGCTTCTGGGTGCGTCTAGATGCTTCTGAATGTTTCTGGATACTTCTGGATGCTTCTGGATGCTTCCAGATGCTTCTTCTGGAAACTTCTGGAAGCTTCTGCATGCTTCTGGAAACTTCTGGATACTTTCTTTAATTATTAAAAAACTTCAGTGACGTTGACCCGGACCAGACTTAAGAAAATGAAACAAACCAAAAAAGTTGCACTTGTTTTGTCTGCTGCAAAATGGCACTTGTCAACAAAATTCTGCTTGTGTGCTGTCACCTGTCAGCTGATTGCTCATGTCATGGCATGCTATGACTCCAAACTCCTGAACTGTTTGCTGTGGTAGTATAGTTTGTTTCGTTTTTAAGACATGTAAAATTAGGAACACTTTTTAGTATTGTTCAATTATGGTTGCAAATGTTTTGTCCAATACTGTATATTCATATCTAATTTATTTATTTAACCAAATAAATGCCTTTTTAATAATGAATTTTAATTATTTTCCAAAAAAAATTTTTGTGTGAATAAAATATTATTTTAAATGCCATTTTATAAAAAACAACCTCCATACGGAGCAAATAAAAATGATGAGTTTAACAACATAACAAGATGTTGGGTACAAAAAAAGCTTGAAAAAATCTACCATGGCAAGAATAGTTGTAAAAGTGAGGACATCAATGACAATTCAAGAAAAACTTGACATGGGAGTTGACAGTTGGCAGTTTTAAGAAATTTTTCTTAAAATTGCTTTGTCAAGTTTTTCTTGACATGATAATTTATAAATGTTCAACCTACCCTTACTTTTTAACATTCAATATACTCCTTCTTTTTAACTTCAATCTACCCTTTTTTTACATTTTTTAAGAATTATAAAAAATAAGGGTAATAACACTAAAAATAATTATTTTAAGATTGCCTATTAACTCTAATCAGCTAGTTTTTATGAGTTAGCTATAACCTCTGATCAGCTAGTTTTTATGAGCTAGAGTTTGTATGAGCCTTTTCTATATATTTAAATATATATATATATATATATATATATATATATATATATATATATATATATATATATATATATATATGTGCATATATATATATATATATGCATATATATATATATATGCATATATATATGTATATATATATATATATTATATATATATATATATATATATATATATATATATATAAATTTTATAGAGGAAAACAAATGAAGAATTATCTAAACTTTTGGAAGAAAGTAAAGACAAAGTTATTTTCTTATCTGGTGATCCCAAAGTTATTCTTCAATCTATGCCTTCACAAGACATAATTGAAGGTAAATTGTTTTTATGTTTATTATACATATTTAAATATATATATATATATATATATATATATATATATATATATATATATATATATATATATATATATATATATATATATATGCATTTCTGATGAGTATATATATATATATATATATATATATATATATATATATATATATATATATATATGTATATATATATATGCATTTCTGATGAGTATATATATATATATATATATATATATATATATATATATATATATATATATATATATATATATATATATATATATATATATATATTTATATATATATATATATGCATTTCTGATGAGTCTTTATTGATGAAACACAGTGTTAAATGAGAAAAAATTTTGCTAAGTAATTTTCTACTAATTTGTAATTGCTCTGTTCTTTTAAGAACATTGAGCACTCTTTATGTAGAATACATTTTAAATTTTTTAAATATATATATATATATATATATATATATATATATATATATATATATATATATATATATATATATATATATATATATATATATATATATATATATATATATATATATATATATATATATATATATATATATAATTAAAAAGTTAATATTATAAAATATAAAATATTATAAAATATAAAATTTTATAAAAGTTACTTTAATTTAGTATTACAAAAATAAATATCTCATATATTGTATAATATAAGATCACTTAAAATTATACACAATCCTTTCTAATAGTGATTTGAAAAAAAATGTTTTTTCATAAGGCTCTGATGGTTATTTTCTTGTTTTTGATGTTTTTATCACTACTTATAAATTTTTGTTGTATATTTTTATTAATATGCAAAAATAAATGAATAGTAACACAATTTTATAAATAAGCATTTTAATTTTTTTGATTATATTAAAGGCATTTTTTTTTTTAATTTTTACTATAATTTAATTTACTTAGGGTAGTTAGGCCTTGAATAGAATTCCGGACGACTATTCATTTTCTCAATCCAAATCAGAAAAATTAATATGAAAATGTCAGTTTTTGAATAAAATGTGTTTAGCATTTACATAAGATTTTTAATAATATTTCAGTTTATATATCTTAAGTGTTATAGTATATATATATAAAAAAAGGTTAAATGTTGAACAAAATTTGTTGAAAGGTTGAATGTGCCCAATTTATATTTTATATGTGAGAAAAAAAATCCTTGTATACTTGGATTTTTATTTTATGATTTTTATTCAACCATACTCAAAAAAGAAAAAAATGAAAGACAATAGGCCTTAGTGGCTTAAGGATCAAAAATGTTTTGTTGCAAATTATCTTACATTTTTTCTAATTTTTTTAATTATTTTTTATATTTTTTTTAATTATGATGTTATCATAAGTTTTTAAGACAATATTTTTATATCAGTTTAACTGGTTTATGTTTTGCATGTTTTTTTTTTTGTAGAAAATAAAAAGTGTTTTCTGATTCTAGATGAAAGTATTTATTAAATATATAGATAATATAATATATTGTATAATTTATTTATTAAATAAATAGATGGTCTAATATATTGTATAATCTATTTTTTAATTATTTGATAATTTTGTGTGTAGTTATAACTTTGTGTTTCCTTCAGTAAAAATATTTTTTTTTTTGCTTTAAACCAAGTTGGACCATAATACTTGATCTCTATATACTTTTAATCTCTTTAAGGATTGCATTAAGATGTTCTTCCCTAGAGTAAAAATCTAGAATTTGTTACACTTAAAACACTTAAATGAGAATGATCTTCCAGAGTGATTAAAGAAAAAAAAAATTAGTAAAAAAATGGTGTTTCAGAAATAATAACAAAAAGAAGCATTTTTGAATTTCATCAGAAAATTCAAAAATTTACTGTCTTACCAATTTTAATGTCATGACTGGAAATGTGTCTTATCGATTTTACAATAGATTTTATGTTACATTTTTAAATTCCTTTGTGCAATTATTTATGCTCCATAGAACTCCATTTTTATTTTAAATAATTCATTTTTTTTTGTTTTAAAATAATTTGAATACTTCTTAATTTAAAATGTTTTGTCAGTTAAAATATTTAAACTGTGTTATCAGTTTATATTGTAAATTAATACTTAAATATTTGAGTTTTGTAAGTCTTATATATTTAAATTAAACAATAATTCAAATATATAAAAGCTCTGTTTAGAATCTTTTTTATAAGTCTTAATTGCAACAAACATGAGTAAAATTTGCCTGGTTGCTTTGTCTACAATTTTTTAAGTAAAATACTTATGTACTTGAATAAATTAATAATCAATTTCCTTAGAAAATGATTTGCAAGTATGAATCTTTATTTTGTTTTTATCAAGTCAATGCTTACTATTTGAAGGAATAGTATTTTTTATATATTTATAAATTTGTTTTAGTTAATAATTATGTTAAGTTTTTTAATTCTTTATAATTTCCAGCTCCAAGTGATGAGCCATTTGTACAGCGAATAAGAGAAATTCTTGTAAGTAAAATTCTTTATTAACTTGCAAATAATTGGTAAGTTTTAAAAGGTTTTTATGAAAAACATGAGAAAAAAAAGAATATTTAAAAAAAAACTATTAGTTTTTTAAATCTCTCTTTCTCTATCTTTGGACAGAAATGATTAGCTGAAAAATTATATATATATATGTATATATATATATATATATATATATATATATATATATATATATATATATATATATATATATATATATATATATATATATATATATATATATATATATATATATATATATATATATATAAAAGTAAGTTTTAGTGTTTATACACTATGCTATGCAGTGAATACTCTGCACACCTTGTATTTTTTATTGGGTATTCTTTAATTCCCACAAAAACTAATTTCACTTTTAAACGTTTCTTTTCTTTCATAACTTTACAGTCATCTGTGAAATTTTTATTGAGAGCATTTTTTTAAAAAAAAAATTAGTTTTGTTCTCACTTCTCAGTTTTTTAATTATAACAGTTTTTTAATTATAACAGTTTTTCAATTATAACTTTTTCAATTATAACAGTTTTTTAATTATAACTTTTTCAATTATAACAGTTTTCCAATTTTTTATCAAGGTCTTTTTCAAATTTGTTTAATTCTTCATCATAATGAAATTTACCAAAAACTGAATAAAGTGCTGTAGATGATTCAGCTGTCTTTCTTATTTCTTGAGTTACTGTTATATTTTGGCATCTCTTTTATAAGTTGTTTTCAGCTTTTAAGCTTTTTTTCCTCATACATTTGATTCTCTTATAACAGTATTCTACATCTAGCATCAACATAAACTGTGGCTAAGAGTTTATTATGAGTTTTCTAGTTTTTTAACAACATACTGGACCTTTGCCATAAAGGTTAGTAGTGTATGTTTCTTTTAAAGCATCGCAATTAGCTAGCTGCAAAGTTTGAACAATGCAGAACATCAACTCAATCTTGGTATCTTTACACCCTTTTTGAAGAAAAAGAGTTATATATTTTTTCCAAGCTGCGACACTTTTTTTTTTTTTAAAACATCACTTCCAACAAGGTTGCAAGCAACCACTATTAGAATTGGAAGTTACTGGAAGAGAAAAGATGATGCTTATAAAGCAAGATTACGGTTAACAGGTGACTTAAAAAACTGCAAACTACATCAATCAAGAAAACAAGAAGAAGGGAGCGAACTCCCAAGAACAGATGTTAAAGGAAAATTAGACATAAGAATATCCAGAGCACTTATTTTCATATTTAAACCTTTGTTACTTTTCATCTTTGTGAAACATTTTTTTATAATTTGAAAAGTTTATAAATTGCAATGAAATAACTCCTAAGTGAGGAAGCAAGTAATTATAAGAAAACTGTTTTGTAATTAAAACTGGAATAAATGAATTTATTACTTTTAAAATTATTTTTGTGATGTTTTGATTAAGTCATATTTTAGATCCTAAGTTAAAAACACAACTATAAAAATATTGCGTATTTATAAAGTATATTTTATTTTTAGAAAGTTTTTAATTAAAAATATAAAGTTCAATTAGCTTTTTAGATACTACTAAAGCTCCTTCTTCTTTGTTGTTTTTTTTTTAATTTTTTTTTTAACAGTTTTTTTGATATTTTTTTTTATAACAGTTTTTTTTTGTTATATTTAATGCAGGTAGTCTGTGGTGCTTAATGCAGGTAGTCTGTGGTGCTTAATGCAGGTAGTCTGTGGTGCTTAATGCAGGTAGTCTGTGGTGTTTAATGCAGGTAGTCTGTGGTGTTTAATGCAGGTAGTCTGTGGTGTTTAATGCAGGTAGTCTGTGGTGTTTAATGCAGGTAGTCTGTGGTGTTTAATGCAGGTAGTCTGTGGTGTTTAATGCAGGTAGTCTGTGGTGCTTAATGCAGGTAGTCTGTGGTGTTTAATGCAGGTAGTCTGTGGTGTTTAATGCAGGTAGTCTGTGGTGTTTAATGCAGGTAGTCTGTGGTGTTTAATGCAGGTAGTCTGTGGTGTTTAATGCAGGTAGTCTGTGGTGTTTAATGCAGGTAGTCTGTGGTGTTTAATGCAGGTAGTCTGTGGTGTTTAATGCAGGTAGTCTGTGGTGTTTAATGCAGGTAGTCTGTGGTGTTTAATGCAGGTAGTCTGTGGTGCTTAAACTAAACTGAGCAATAAAAGTCCACAGAGAAATATGAAATATTTCTATTGAAAAAACTTTTTATATAAAGGAGGATAAGTAATAAAAACAAAGAAAAATGAACAGATGTTTGGAATGTAAACAGATTTATTTTAAGAAGAGAAAGCTTATACAAAAATCATAGTCAATAATAAATTTGTCAAAAGTATACTTAAAACAAAACAGGACACATAAGTAACCATAATTTTTTTTTAAATACAAAAGTTGGTCTTACTTTAAAAAAAATATACTTATGCATAGATATATCAATTTTTAAAATGAATAAATATTAAAATGGTAGAAGGTGTAAGATAAAGAAAAAACATTATTGCTTTTGTGTAATCATAATTTATGTAGTGGTAGTAATAAACTTCTCCTCAGAATTGTGTTTATTATTACCAGCATTTCAAAGAGGCTCAGCACCATTACCTAGTTTATCCTGTCAGATAGCATCTTCACAATTTATGCTTTACCCCGCAATAAGTTTTTAATTAAAAATATAAAATTCAATTAGCTTTTAAAAACTACTAAAGCTCCTTAGTTCTTTGTTGTTGTTGTTTTGTTTTTTTACAGTTTTTTAATATGTTTTTAAATGAAATTCTTAAAAAAAAATATTTAAAAAGTATTGAGGTTTTTTAAAAATATTTAAACATTTTAAAAAAGTCTTCAACTAGGAATTTTTTTACCTTAATCGATACTCACAAAAATGAATAAATATGAAATATTGAAACAATAAATATTTTTTTTATTGCTTTTTTTATTATTATTATTGCGTAATTACATAATACAGTGTGGTGCAGAATTATAACCTCACCAAAAATTCTAGATCTTTTATATAAATAAATGATCATTACTAATTATTAAATGGCTTAGCATTTAATTTGATTAATATTTCATTTATAATACAGTCTAGTTTCATTTTGTTAATTGATTTGAAAATTTTAGAAAAATTATGGAAAAATTATAACCTCATTTCAATTTTGTTCAACAAAATTAGATGACCTATTGTATCTTAATTAGATTTTATTATAAATACTTTGTTTTATCATTGCAATTTTGATTGACCTCAAATATTTGATTTGGCATACTTTTAGAATGTTTTCTGAGATCACCAAGAGATATGTTCTTTTAAGCATGCACAATTGCCTTTTTTAATTCATTGACATTTGAATATTGTTTCCCTTCTGCATAAACATGTCTTACTAAGATAATAAGTTTTCAATGACATTTAAATTGGGTGAGAGTGCTGGCTATTCTAATAATTGAGTTTTCATGCTGATGAACCATGGGATATTTGCACTATGAATTGAAGCATTATCTTGCTGATCATAAAACAAATTTTTGTGAAATATCCTTTAAATGATCATCCAACAAATTTCTATAGGATTTCATTTAGAAGTAATAAATCCAATTGTACTTTTTCCAAAACAACAATATGCACCCCAAAATATTACTCTTCTGCCTTCAGTAACTCTTCTTTTTTAAAAATGATTTTTTTTTCTAATCAGTAATGTCATGTCAGTAATAAGTGAAGCAATCTGGACCATCATAAATTTTATTTCATCAGACCACACAATTTTTTAACATTCATTTTTCTAAGTCATGTTGTCCTCGGACAACAGAAGAATTTGTTGGATCATTTACAAAATTATTGATCAAATGCAATAAGCCTCTCAGCTTGCAAGTGATTGACCTGTTTGTTAAATGAAATGATCTGTAGGCTTCAATCTTGCCTTTTTTTTTTCATTGGAGAGTGTAAATCCTCTTGGGATTTGTTAAAATGTATTTGATTGAATAAGTTTAATTTGAAAATGGAGTTCACTGCTATTTATTTTATTATTCAGCTTTTGTTGTAATTTAGATATCGAAGTTAAAATTGTGCACCACCATTTTAAACAATTTTATAATTTGAATTACTTAAAGTGTAAATAGATTGAATTATGTTGGCTATTTCAAAAATTGATCTACAAATAAAATTTGATCAACATCTTTAAAAGCTGCTTTTAAAGTACCTGTATGGTGAGGTTATAAATTTGCACTGCACTGTACTTTTTAAAGCAATATTTTATTTTGAATATGCTAGACGATTTTTAAAATTTTTGTTTATGTAAGTAAGATATGATTTAACCTAGAAAAACATTAATGTTTTTCTAGGTTAACATTTAGGTAAACATTTTGCTGTTTAAAAAAAAAATTTGTATATTGGCACAAGTTTTATTTTCCTGCATAAACTGACTTACTTAGGTATTGAGGCAGTTGCAGGGAATTGCCCGTTATTCCTGCAGAGGCCTGTATGTGCTTACAAATGTAAGCACATACAGGTATGTATATATATATTGTATAATTTAATTGTATGTATGTATATATATATTGTATAATTTAATTTCAGGGCAAGATTGAGAAGATGAAAGATCAAAGAGCTTACTTACTTTCAAAGTTAAGAGAACAGGTTGTAAATGTCATTAGGTGACACTTGTCACTGATCAATTTGATTTTTTTTAGTTTAGTTTAATTTTCCCTCAGCTACTTTTAATAAAAAAAATTTGCTTTTTGATGTCATATTTAGTCAAGAAGTAATTTTAATTTTAAATGCTAATTGTTAATAATTATAATAATTATGCAACACATGACATTAAGTGTTATTTGAATTAAATTAGTTTTAACATCTCATAATTTTAAACTAAAATTAACTTATTTTCCATCTTTTAATTTCAACTGTCAGAAAAATCAAACTAATAAATAAAACTAACTGTTAGCCTAAATAATAAAACTAACTGTTAGCTTAAATAAATAAAACTAACTGTTAGCTTAAATAAATAAAACTAACTGTTAGCTTAAATAAATAAAACTAACTGTTAGCTTAAATAAATAAAACTAACTGTTAGCTTAATTAAATAAAACTAACTGTTAGCTTAAATAAATAAAACTAACTGTTAGCTTAAATAAATAAAACTAACTGTTAGCTTAATTAAATAAAACTAACTGTTAGCTTAAATAAATAAAACTAACTGTTAGTATGACTAAAGGGCTACATCTTTTCACAAGATAATAGACTTATAAATACCACCTTTAAATTTATACTGTAGTTTAAAAACATAAATCTGTAGATAAAATTATTCAAATGTATGTTGATAAATATAAATTAAAGGGCTACATCTTTTCACAAGATAATAGACTTATAAATACCACCTTTAAATTTATACTGTAGTTTAAAAACATAAATCTGTAGATAAAATTATTCAAATGTATGTTGATAAATATAAATTATGCATTTAGAATCAACTTTGAATGGTAAAAAAATATATATAGTAAATAGTTTTTATATTGTTTGCATAACAAATTTATTCCTGGCAAAACATGTTTTTACACTACAAAGTAAATATGCATAATAAAAATTGAGTTTAGATATATAGTTTTGCAATAATTGAATTTAGATATTAGTTGTACTTACAATTTTAACTATAAGAATTAACTAATCTTTTTCTTAATAAGCTCAAATACCAAATCATCATTTCAGCCATACTTACTTTTTTGATCACCAGAATGTATGAGAAAAGACTTTAGGGACTGTTTGCAATTTTTCATAACTGGTAGTTAAAATACATCTAACATCATGCATTTTTTCATTTGAAATGTATAGCACAGTAGTATCTTTAAAATGGAATATATAAAATTTAAACATTTCTAATAGCTCCAAGTTGGCATATTTAATAGTCTCTTGAATTATCTTTAAAATTCCAGTTTTTGCTGTAGCTTTTTTTAATGTACCTCTGATATCGTCAAATATAGATTTCCCATGAGTGGATACAGATTTCATTGTACTTTTAGGCCAAAATTATTTTGATGCTGGCTTTCGTTTTTAAAACTCTTTCATATTACCCTTCTGAGAAATACTTAATTTTTATTTGTTTTATTTGAGTTTTCATAATATGTTTAATAACATATACAGCATGCACCTCATCGCCATCAAATATTTGTAATAACATGCTGTATTTCATGCACCGCATCACCATCATATATTTGTAATAACCAGGGCTGTGGAGTCAGAGTTATGGAGTCGCAACTTTTTTAGCGGAGTCAGAGTCGCTTAACAAAATCGCGACTCCAATAGTAAAACTTCTAGGTATTGCAAGTGCATGTACAAAACATTCAACTAACCTTATGTTCATACTAAACCTCAAAGAACGTTTCATAAATTTGTCAAAAAAGAAATTATTAACTTTTTGCGTAATATTTTTGAAAGAATTCAAAGAATTTTTCAAAAATTTTGCTTTGGAGTTGGAGTCGGAGTTGGAGTCAGAGATAGGGTCCGAGTTGGAGTTGGAGTCGGAGTTGTACTTAAAATATTTTAACAACTGGAGTTGGAGTCATTACTTTTTTTTTACGACTCCACACCCCTGGTAATAACATGCTGTATTTCATGCACCGCATCACCATCATATATTTATAATAACATGATGTGATTCATGTATCAGCATCATGTTGTCATTAAAGATAATGCAAAATGACTTATACATTAATAGTTTGTTAATATTGTAGTATAAAACAAATGAATGTAATGTGTGCTAAGGTCTTTACAGCGAAAACTCTGAAGCTCATCTTGGACAGCAACGTTTTTTCCTACAAATTTAATAAAATTTTTGTCATTTCTCTGCAAAATCACTCTGTAAAATGACATTTTTAGTAAGATTGCTCTTTTTTTTTTTTTTTTTTTTTTTTCGATTTTCTTTCCTGTTAATAAATTTAGCTTGCAATTTGGAAATAAAATAATGAAAAAGTCAATTTGGCAAAAAACTAGAAACTATTTCAGCAAAAGCATTAATTTGTGCAGCCATGGTGTTATATGAAAAGTGGTCTGTGTATACTCATTGTTTACAAATGATGTCTTTGTCATATTTGTATTTCTATGTATATCCTTTGTATTTTGTTACAACAAAAATTCCACAGACTTTATTTATACTCCATGATGCAAGTGCTAACATAAGCAACTTTCTAACTTTTGTTTCTAGTTTGTATTTTCTAGTCTAGTCTGATCAAAAATTAGTAAAAATCAAAATTGATAAATTTATCTATTATTTATTTGTGTAATATTGTAGTTTCATCTTTTAACAATTTTTTTTAATCTTTTAATTTTTTTAATTCTTTTAATAAATTTTTTTTTTAGTTACATAAAGATGATATTACTAGTCAACTTGTGATCCGAGGCGATGAAGACAAAAAAGTATTTAGTTTTTACTTTAATGTAATGCTGCAAAAATTTTATTTTTACACCAGAGTTTCTTTAAATTTTCAAAATGTGTAAATGTAACAACAACAAAAATAATCTTGTTTGTGTCATACCTAATAATTAACTTTTAACTAGGAAATGCTTAAAAGTAATTAAAATATTTAAATATGGATAATCAATATAAACGAATAAATGAACTTGAACGAATGTTTTATGATGTTCAAGTTTGAACATCTTGAAACAGATCATCATAAGATTTCATATCTCTTCTAAAAATATAAGCATATTCACTGCTCATTGTAAGGTATTACTGATCTAAATGATGTCTCATGTTACTCCCAACGAAAGTCAGCTGTCTTGTCACATCTTTTTACATTTCTTCCTTTGTGCTTAAAATCTTTTATTTAGTTTTTTTACATGTTCATTGTTATTCTGCGGTTCTTTTCTGATTTTGTTCCACTGGTTTATGTAGTTATATAGTTATATATGTATATAGTTTGCAGCTTTTCTGTTGACCACTTTCTTGCTTTTTAATTATCTTTTTTTATTTTTTAGTAACTCTTGACATAATAAGTTACGTTTACCTGCCTGCAATCCTGTTTAAAGTCCAGGGATGCGGAGTCCCAAAAGAACTCCCCTTTAAATTTCTATTTTTTCTTGGTCTCTGATGTTCAGGAGCTCTAAACATATTGGTTTATTTATGATCTGCTATAAGAAAAGAATCCATGAGATTAAATGACTTGGAACTTATTGTTTTTAAACCTAAAGTCCCGGAGTTTTAAAGTCCTTGCTGCTATTATACCTAAGGACTCCGGGTTCAAAAATTGATTGTCCCTTTAACCTAAAAGTCTTGATTTTTTTCTTCCAAAAATAGCCCATAAGCTTCTTTACATGTTTAGAGCTCCTGGATACCAAAAACCATGAAGAAATAATTTTTTTTTGACTTTCAAATCTGGAGCCCTTTTTGGGACTCTGTATCCCTGTTAGAGTTAATTTGTATTTTAAAAAATGTCATGACAATAGTAGTTTATAATGAAGCATAAATACAAATTGTTGTTGTAGATAATAAATTGTATTTAATATAATAAACAACAGTAAAACATTAGTATGATTAATAGTGAAGATTTGATGTTACTATCAAACTTTTTCTTACATAAAAATGACCAAAAAAAAACAATCAACAAAAAATATTTTAAAAATATTTTTTTTTAATAGAAGACTATTAAATTTTAGGCTTTCTTTAACGAACAACTTCAAAAGCATAATGAAACAACTGATTATATCAAGCAAAACATTGCAGCGCAAGAAAACATATTACAGTAAGTATTATAATATAAAATAAAAAGTTTTTTTAATTAAATTATAGAAAAAACTTAGCTTAACTTCCAGAACTTCTACATAACTTAACTTCTCAACATCAACATAAAAATGATATTTTCTTATAATAAATTGGTTGTTTTTATTTTTTATTTGTGGTTGTTTTTTTTTAAACAAATTTTTAAATGAGTGTACTTTTGATTAGCCCTTGGCTTGCATTTTTCATTCTCCCTAAATGTAAGGGTAGAATTTTTCACTAAACTAAAAATTTGTAATAAATAAATATATATTTAAATACAGCTCAAAGTTCTCTACAACTTAAAATAAAGCAAAATTCTTTTTTTCATAAAAACAAATTAAGTAAAAATATTTCATTTAACACTCTGCTGACATTTTATTCTACTATTTTTAGCTTGTCAGCCAATTACTTTGATAGGATGAAAAATGTATTATAAATTTAGTTTAAATAAAGATAAATTATTTGTTTACTTATCTAGAGCTCTAACTGAAGCAAATGCAAAATATGCAACTGTCAGAGAAAAAGTCGCAATAATAAAAAGCAAGTAAGTATAAAGGCATTTAAACATCTTGTTTCAATGTTGTATTTTTTATTTGTAAATAATTTTTTCAATGGTTAATAATTTGTACTGTAAATAAAGTTTTCAATAAGGTTAAGAATTAATACTTGATGTTTTATTCAAGATTTCATATGCAAGCCAAAACATACATTGCAACAATTGTGTTATTTTTGGAGCTCAAGGAGAGAATCAGGTATTTAATGAAAAAGTATTTAATTTGATTTCCTTATTTAAAAAGTTCACCTTCAGTTAATTCAATTTGGCTATATTTAATTGTATGCACATGCAGTGTGCACTCTGGTACAGGGTAATAGATCATGGTATTTTGATCATGGTTTAATTGTAATACTTGCAATTAAATGGTGTTCACAGTTATATAGAGTTTACACCTTATTGCTGTTTTATAGACAAAATTATCTATCTATGCAAAATTTTAAACTTGTAAATAAAACTTAAAAAATTGCCAAATTATAAAAAGGTGATATTTTATCAAGTGTCGTATGCATTTTATCAAGTGTTGTATGCATTGCAAAAATATTTGGTTCAGGCTTGGTCAAGAAGTGGGAGCAATTGCTCTCGATTGTTGACCACTGAAATAATATTTAGCTGCGAAAATCTGGCCAGATTTTTTAGTCGTTTTGAGAACATTTCAAAAAGCAAAAAAAATGCGCAAAAGATTAATTGGACTGATGAGAAACAAATACAAAAAAAAAAAATTAGGAAAATAAAATATCTTTTAATGCAAAAAAAATTAAAGCAAAATAAATTATGTTTAGAACAAATATTTTCGAAACATTGCTCTTTTATAATTTTTTTATAAAATTAAGCAACGTTTTTATTTAAAGTAACATCTTACGGTTGTTTAAAAAGGAAAAAAATGTTCTTTATTTAACAAAGTTTGCAAGTTTTAGTTTTGTCTAAGCTAAATTATTTTATAAATATAAAAGTTGATTTTTTTAATACCTATTTTATGCGTAGTTTGAAAAGTTTAACATATTTGAAACAATTCTTCTTAGTAAGATAAAAAAATTAAATAATTAAATCATTGAATTACTATAGAAATTAAATTAACTAGATAGAAATCAACTAAAAAGGTTAAAAATACTGATAAGTCATATCAGTATTTTATAAACCAATTCCCATCTGTATGAAAATAATTTGTAGTATTTTTTTGTAAATGATAGAGAACATATGCTAAAATAGACAATGTTGCATTAAAAGCCCACTCTCTAAACATCATCAGGGATATTGTAAAGCGAATCTGCTTCCCTGTCATATTTTAATATGACAAGGAAGCAGATTCGCTTCCTTGTCATATTAAAATATGACAAGGAAGCGAAACTGCTTTACAATATCCCTGATGATGTTTAGAGAGTGGGCTTTTTAATTTTAATTAGTATTTAAAGCAGAAAAAGTATAATGAGTTTTTAACTTAAGCGAAAAAATTAGAGCTAGTAAACCAATATCTAAAAACTTTTCTTTATATCTAATAATTTGCTATGTATATTTGTGGTCTGTCGAGACCTCAGGTGCGGTACGTGTTCATCCACGAGTTACTTTGTATGCATTGTTTGTGTTTAGTAGCCAGAAACTTCTTATATGTTTATTACATAATTAGTTTTATTATCTTTAATGATTATTAATAACTTCATTGAAAACGCAATTATTATTGTAAGTTTTTGTTTACAAATTAAATCATAAAATGAGCTATAATATTGATAATATATTCTTAAAACAATTTATGCTAAAAATCTTAAAACTTAAGAAATTGTGAATACAATTTCTCAAACATTTCAAGCGAATACTCTAGAACTTTATTTTGCTTAGTCAGTGTATTTTTTGAACTAATAGAATTAGTTCGTATTTGCGAATAACCTTTTTATTATGACGCACCAAGATGTTTTGAGAACATTTAAGTTTTTTATGTTTCCATGTATGTCTGTAAAGCAAAAATTTTTTGTTTTATACATAGACTTAAATGTTATCATAACAACTAAAAATCCTGGCCAGTTTTTCGCAACTAAATATAATTTCCGTGGTCAGTATTCGAGAGCAATCGCTCCCGCTTCCCGACCAAGCCTGTGATTGTATCAAGCCTAAATGATTTTAAAATTTAAAAAAGTTTTTATGTTTTGTTAAGTAAATTGAATCTTAGTTTGAATTAATTTCAGTTTTTCCTTCTTTTTACAGTCTTTATAAAGATCTTGAAAGCACTTGATTGTTAACTCTACAGTCTGGTTCTGACAATTTTTACCTAAATAGTTCTAGTTCTAAATAATTCCAAAACATTTTCACACAGTTTGATACTATTCATGATCGTGAGAATTAAAAACATAAGTTTTGTCAATAAACCAATTCCCATCTGTATGAAAATAATTTGTAGTATTTTTTTGTAAATGATAGAGAACATATGCTAAAATAGACAATGTTGCATTAAACTTCCATTTTATGTTACATCACGTTCCTTTTTGTCTTTTAAGTGGTTTTCCTGATTATCTGAATCAGATATGTCTATAAACAGTCAGACTGTAGCAACCTGATGAGAAGTAGTTTGCGACAATAAAATTACTAAAGTTAATGATGAAATAAAATTTCATCATGAAGTTTGTACAAAGTGATTTTTAAATTTTGATTAGTTTCTTAAGATTAAATTCCCAAATAAAAACAAATATTAATACTCAAAGATATAAGGGAGTACCAATTATATAAAAAAAAGCTAATAATTGATGTGTTAAGTAGACATTGGCTGGGTTTCATTTAAGCTATTGAGATATTATATATTGTGACATATGTTATATATATATATATATATATATATATATATATATATATATATATATATATATATATATATATATATATATATATATATATATATATATATATATATATGCGTATCTAAGGTAAACAAGTTTCCTTCTCCACAGTATAGGTAACATAGCTGTGAGAAGAAAAAACTCCAGTTTAGTTGTATATAAGGTTAGGAGTCATAAATCTTGGGTGATAAATTAGTAGTATTAACACAATAAAAATAGTCTTGTTTTAAATCATATTTAAATAATTACTATTTACAGAGACTTTTTTTTAATTTTTATTTGTTGTGTGTGTGTGTGTATATATATATATATATATATATATATATATATATATATATATATATATATATATATATATATATATATATATATATATATATATATATATATATATATATATATATATACAACAAATAAAAATAAAAATATGTATTTTTTTTTCAGAGCCGGATTAACTTTTTATTATCAACTAAAAACAAATGTAGAATCGTTGTTGCAAAAAGTTGAATCAATTTTTAACAAAAATAAGCAGCTAAAAAAAACAGGTATCACATTTGTAAATAAAGTTAATTATAATGATAGATCATAATAGTTCTGTTAACTTTCAATTTATGTTATGAATACTTGTCAAATTATCCTAAAAAAAATGTTGCTGTATTTTTAAATATATATCTTATTAAAATAATATTTATCTTGTATAAGAGTGTATATTATATTAATAAGAAAGCATCAAATAATACAAATTTTCTAAATAAAAATAGTAATTTATTTTCAGAACTTTTTGCTGGATTGTGGTTACCAGCACAATCCAGCAAAAATTTTGAACGTTAAAAACAGTCCAAAGCTAACTGGCATCAGCAATTGAATGTCCTCATGTGTTTCAACATCCTACTATGTTTATTTCTTACAAGCAAAACTTACTATGGGTGACTGTTGCAGACTGGTAATGGTTCCTCTCATTTAATGCTTGAAAAAGTTTTGTAGCTACATATACGTTTAACTTTAAATATTACTGTAGCTAGATATACGTTCAATTTTCAGCAACAATTCTCACTATGCTGGGATTACAGACTGGTATTACAGGCGCCTCTGAATTATATTTAAAATTTTTGAGCGTTAAAATTCTTTTAAATTTTTGCAATGCCCTGCTGACTAATGTGCTTCTTACATAACTGGATTCAGGCTGGCATGGAATTTTTTACTCCCTCTTGACAATTCCAGGTCAAGCCTCACTCTTCTCCATTGCTTTCCTCACATTGTGCTGCTGTAAACAGATGTCTGTTTACTATTGCTAGAAACCATTGTAAAAAGGTTTTGTCTAATGCCAAAGTCCACTATTCTCAGGTCATGAAATCTCGTGTTTTATAACAAAAATGACTTATGGAGAATCTTTAACAATATCAATAATAAGGGCAAATCTGTTATTCCACCTCTCTTGTATGGTTCAGACTTTGTCACCTCACCTAAAGACAAAGCTGAATTGTTTGCTAAGAAACTTTTCATCAATATCATCTTTTGATTCCACTAGTTGCGTTCTACCTGATATAGCTATCAAACAGGTTGATCCATTGCTTAACATTCATATCACTCCAGCTTCTGTATCTAAAGTGATTTCCTGCTTAGACTCTTCTACAGCTTGTGATCTAGACTTCTTGCAGAAGTGTTCTCTGGAGCTGCCGTTTATACTTTCAAAACTATTTAACGAGTACTTATTGGAGTTTTGTTTTCCATCATTTTGGAAAGCGGCATCTGTTATCCCTATTTTCAAAAATTCTGAAGAGCGATTTGACTCGTCTAACTACCGTCCCATTAGTCTTCTTCCTATCATAAGCAAGGTTTTTGAATCTTTGATTAACAAACACTTAATCTCTCATCTTGAATCTAATAACTTACTTTCTTATCATCAATATAGATTTAGATCTTTTCGTTCTACAGTTGATTTGCTAACAGTAATAACCGATAGGTTTTATTGTGCATTAGATAAAGGTGGATAGGTTAAGGCTATTGCTCTTGACATTTCTAAAGCTTTTGATAAAGTTTGGCATGCTGGCATGCTGATAAAGTTTGGCATGCAAGTTTGGCATGCGTGCTTTCTTCTTATGGTGTATCTGGTAACATCTTTAAGATTATCGAGTCTTTCTTTTCCAATCATAGTATTAAAGTTGTCCTCAATTGATAACACTCTTCTTCTTTAGACAACACTCTAAGGTAGCATTGTTTGCTGATGATAATACCATTTATTCTTGTCATTATAAGAAGCCAACAGTCTCTGATTACTTGCAGGGGACATTTGAACTTGAAAAAAATCTCACTTCCGCTAAGCATATGGTTCATAGTGCCTGGTGAACTTTAATTCAGATAAAACCCAATTTTCTTTAGCCAATCATTATCTCAATAATTTAGATCTTCCTATTTTTATGAACGATAATGTACTCGATGAGTCATCTACCCTTCATCTTCTAGAATTAACTCTTACTTCTGATCTTTCTTGGAAACCATATATCAAATCCGTTGCAAGATTAGCATCTGCTAAAGTTGCATATCTTTATCAAGCTTGACACTTTCTTGCTCTGGATTCTATTTTTTATCTCTATAAATTTTAAATTTGTCCTTGGAATACTGTTGCCATATCTGAGGCGAATCTTCTAATGATGCCCTTTTTCTTTTAGACAAGGTGCAAAAGTGCATTGTAAACATAGTTGGACCTGCTCTTGCAGCCAATCCCCAACCATTATCACATTGTCTTAATGCTGCTTCTTCTTCTCTTTTCTACAAATACTATAATGGGCACTCTAAAGAGCTAGCTATTGTACCATCTACTAAAATTCATTATCGTTTTACTTGTCATTCAATTGTCTCAGCCTTTTTCTGTGACTGTTTCTAAGTGCTCCAAAAACTCTTATTTGTCTAGTTTTTTACCTCAAACATCATTTCTTTAGAATTCGCTTCCTTTATCTTGCTTTCCTTATTTATATAATTTGCAACCTTTCAAATCATCTGTAAATTGATATCTTGCTCTACAAACTTTATCTTTTTTCTTCCAATAACTTCCAACTCTAATAGTAGTTGCTTGCAGCCTTGTTGGAAGCGAAGATGTTAGGAAAAAAAATAATAAAGAAATAGATCAAAAGTTTTACCTCGCAGAGTATTTAGTTAAATAGAAAATCAAAAAAGCCCATTAATTTTGATCAAATTGCTGAGTAAAAGAGCTTAAAGGGACAACCAAGTCCCGAGACATGTTGTGTTCATATTAAAGGGACAACCAAGTCCCGATACATGTTGTGTTCATATTAAAGGGACAACCAAGTCCCGAGACATGTTGTGTTCATATTAAAGAGAATGTTAAAAAAAACAACGTCTGAGCAAATTTTTTTTGATTAAAACTAATTAATAAATGTATACCAAGAAAAACAAATCTTGTTGTTTTAGTTGAAGCTTGTCATTGAAAACATTCTTGAAATTCTTTAAAAATTTTACTTTTAAATTTTACTAAAATAGCTAACTATAGTTAGTTATTTTATTTTCTAAAATCTTCATATTGAAAACATTTTTTTCTTCACATTGTTTTTTTGTAGCTATCAGAGCTGTGGCTACATAGGACATGGCGATGGTGGAGCTAGGGACCCCTATGGCGCCAAATCGGGTTATATAATATCTCCGATGATTCATGAGTGTGTTCTTTACATTTTAATGCAAGTTGTTTCAAAAAATCTAAAGAACAATTAATTAAATCAAGCACTAGGAAGAGATATAAAAAATAAGAATATACTAATAAATTATATAATTTGTAATTAACTAATAATTTGTAATTGGATGCTATAATAATGGAAATATAAATAATGAAATAAGATCACCTCAATACCAAAAAATACATTTTTGAAAATCAGAAAAAATGCGTTAATAATTTTTTTAAAATATTTACAAAATAAATTAATAAAAGTGAAAATATGAAAAATTTTAGGTTAAAAATAATAAAAATTTTAGGTTAAAAGTTATTTTTCTAATACTTTGAAAGAAAAACTTATAACAAAAGAAATCAAAATACATGTGGTCTAGATAATTATTTTTAAAAAGTTGCGCAAATAAAATATTATTTTGTTTTTAATTTTTTTACAAACACAATTTAGAACTTTAAAATATATTAAAAATGAATATGATTTGGAAATTGTATGTAAAAAATAGTTATCGTTGTTTTAAACAAACAAACAAAAATATATCTATGACATCATGTACTAAAACCTCTATGAATTAAACGCACTTGAATAAATTATTAAGTCTATAATGCGCCTGGAAAATCGCGTTTATTTTAAAGACTTCAATTACCGCAGAAAATGGAGAAGACAAGCTTTGACTAAAACAACAAGATTTATTTTTCTTGGTATACATTTATTAATTAGTTTTTATCAAAAAAAATTTGCTCAGGTTTTTTTTAAGATTCTCTTTAATATGAACACAACATGTCTTGAGACTTGGTGGTCCCTTTAAGATCTCTTACTTCTGCTTTTTAAATTAATTTAGCATTGCATAATTTATGGACTATCCCTAAAGAAAAACTTACTTTTAAGAATGGCCAAAAAAAAAGCTAAATTAGAAAAGAAAAAAAAATTAACAAAAAAACAACAACAAAATATTGTGAAAATTTTTAAGAAAAAACTAATTGCAAAGGTGTGAAAAGTAATCATAATTCACAATGGCGATACGCTTAATTTGAGCCATGTAACTATATATATAATAATATATATATATATATATATATACTACTGTGAGCAAAAAGTAAGGTGAAATTGTTTATAAAATGTAAATTTTTTATTTATTTTTCCAAATCAATTTCATCCCTTTCAAAGTAATCTTTGTCCGATAAAATGTACTTTTTCCTGTCCTCGAAACAGTTGGAAAAGTCTTTTTCTGGTATAGTCTTCAAGATCTTCTTCAATTCAGTTTTTATCACAATCGTGTCAAAGCGTCAATCCTGCGTTGGCTTTTTGAGTTTGCTAGAAGTCGGTTGAGGCCAAAATAAAGTGAATACAGTGGTTGCGGAATTGTATTAGTTTAGTTTTTGGCAAAAAAGTCACAGTATGACATGTATGCATTATTGTGATGAAGGAACTAAGAGTTGCTCGCCCATAATTCCAGCCGTTTCAGACAAATAGCTTCACTCAACTGAAGCATAATGCTCAAATAATATGCTTTGTTGACAGTTTGGTCCGGCGAAAGGAATTCATAGTGCACCACACCAAGATAATCAAAGAAAACTGTCAACATGACTATAATTTTCTTTGGCGTGGTCTTTTCTGTCTTGCTTCACTTTTTGCACAATATTTGCTTGATTGGTCAGTGGTTTCATGGTCATATGCATAAATCCAAGTCTCGTCTCCAGTAATAATGCATTTTAAGTGGTCCTGATAGTCAGACAAAAAAGTTTCACACACATCATCACAATGCTTCTTATCAAAAAAATTGAGCGGTTTTGGCACTAATCTAGATTTGACACAAAACATTCTTCAAAATGGTTTGAGCTGAGCCAAATGCTATTCCAACACTATCAGCAAGATCTCTAATTGTCAATCAATGATTTTCAAGCACCAAATTTTTGATTTTTTGGATGTGTCCCTTGTTGGTAGATGTTGATGGTTGTCCAGAGCGTGGCTCATCTTCAACACGTTCTTGGCCCTCTTTGAACTCATTGTACCATTTATAAATGTTTTTTTGGACCATAGTTTGATCACCATAGACCTTCCGCAACATTTTCAACTAGTCTGCACAAAAGTATTTGTTTTGTAAACAAAATATGATGAATCACACATCGTAGAAATCGAAAAATTTACTTTTGGTTGTTTACATAAACATATGTAACTCGGAGATAATTTAACCTTTTGACAAACAAACACTAATTATTATAAACAGTCGTATCAACCTAGGAAAAAAAAATTACCTGCCTTCATAATGCCCAGGAGTTTTAAATCACCTTTTTTTTTTTGATCACAGTATATATATATATATATATATATATATATATATATATATATATATATATATATATATATATATATATATATATATATATATATATATCAAATACAATTTTAATTTAGAACCTCCAACAAGACCAACTGCATCTAAACCTATTTTGCTTACTAATAAAATCAACCCTAATCAAGAATTTTTATCACCTCATTCAAATAATTCTTACATACAGAATATATCTACACAATCATTTTTACCATCAAATATACCACAGCATGACCTAAATGTTAGGTCTAAAGAACAAGATTTTACAAATGAAAAGTTATCGAATTATGGTGCAAATGTACCTCAAATAGTTAAAAGTTCATATATGTCCCAAGTAAATAACGTACAATTTGATGCAAGGTTTCCATTGAATACTGATAATAATAGACCAATGTTAAGAGGTGTTTCTAGAATGCCAGTGAACATTAATTGTTCATCATCGCTTGGTCAGCAACAACATGTATGGCCTCAATCTCCACAACATTCTCAGTTAAAATCTTTTGATCCAACAAATCATCAGGATATCCTAGCTTCTTCAAGAAATTCTAATCAACAGATACCTTATAATAATACTAATTTGCAAACAATGCATACTTTACCACATCAAACTTCTTTGATTCCAAATTTAAGAGGAACATCTTGTACAAGAGTTATGAGTCCAACAGTACTTCATGAGTCTGCACCACATATTAGATCCAACTTTATGATTCAAGACCCACAGCTGCTTAATCCATTAAATGTTTTAAAAATGAACTCTGATTTACCTGCAACAAATCAGTTTACTGGCTCTTTTCAAGTACCTTCAAATTTAACACCTAGGCAAATATCAGATCAAAGTCAAATCAGAATGCATTTTCAATCTTATTTATCTACTGGCCAGCAGCCATATTCCAGTGTAACACAAGTAAATTTTAGTCCACCTTTGCAATCACTTCAACGTTTTTCTTTACATGATTCTTCAATGTCAGGGTATCAACAAAATAAGTTTCCACAGTCTGATCTTAGACAGCAGCTAGGAAGTCAACAAAGCTTGATACAACCACAAAATAATAACCAGTATCTGTCACAACAAGCTTCTATACAACGTCATCCTCAGCCTCAAGCAATTAATCAAACGAATTTACAAGAAGATCGAAATCAAAATTACATTGCAAAACAACAACTGCATCAACAGCAATTTCGACAACAACAACAACAACATATACCATTACAGGCTACTTTAATTCGTCCCCAGTCTGGTTCACAACTAAATCAATTTACTTACCATCCTGAATCAACACAATCACAGTTTAACATGCAAGCAACTCAAATACCTAATCAAATTCGCTCACAACAACACCAAGTTCATTCTCAGCAACTTCAACATGGATCACGGCAACATCAACAAAATTACTTTCAAACAGAGTTCCCACGTTCTCAGTTTAAAGATCAGTTTATTTTACACAGGTCTCAAACTCCAAATCAATTAAATTTTCAAAGCAATGAAATCCAATCTGTTAATAACTTCCAACACAGCTCACAAGTATATTCTAATAAAGTTATTCCACAACCATATTCTCAATTGCAACAACCTATGAATCAAGTGGTTTTGTCATCATCAGGAATATCTAATCAAAATTTAAATGTTGGTAATTTCGTGACTCCGTCTCATTTGCAAAATCTTGGATTGACAGGGGACGATCTCAATGTTAATCTTCCTCCTCCTTTGATGCCAGAAATTGCTAGGGAATGTGCTGTACCAAGTTTATTGCAGCAAAATCGTAAAATAGAACTTTCAGAATCTTTTAACAGGGCAGGAACAGATATTAATAATTTTAATAAGTCTGCAGTTATACCCAGACAAAATGATGATTTTCAGAATACTCAAAAACCTGTTAACTTTTATCAAAGTTCTCAACATCCATTGTTACAGACTGGTCATAAACAAAATGTGAATTCTGATTTTGACAGGCATGTTCATCCTGATTTTGAGACAAATTCAAATTTTATAAAAGATAAGTATTCAAATATTGAGTTGCCACAAAACACTGTATTGCTACAGGACTATGCATTACAACCGGACCATTCAAGACAACAAGATTATTTATTACAACAGAATCATACAAGGCAACAGGAACAACAAAAACCATATAGTAGTCAAACAATTCCTCAACATTTTCATCAACAATTAATTCCAAATAAACCTCTTCTAATAGAAAACCAGGTAATTGTCTCATCGTTTCAGCCTATTAACTCTTCTGCTACCACAACTGCTACAATCCAGTCATCTTTGTCATTGGGAAATGGTGTTTATTATTCTTCTTCTACGCAACCAAACAATTTGACTGTTTTTTATCCTGGTAATGTAATTCCATCTCAGCCTGGCGGAGTTCTTTACACTGCTAAGCCAACCATGTCACTTTTGTCTGATCCAGTTGTAGCAAACATTCTTGGAAAAAATGTCTCTACAACAGATATCTCTCAACTTGGTTTTCAGCAGTTTCAACTCCAACAAATTGTTTTACAGCAACAGCAACTAATTACCATGGTGCAAAGTCAACAAAATATTCTTCATAACGAAGAAAAAATTAAAATTGAAACCTTGCAAGGACAAATCGTTGAGCAGCAAAAGTTGATAGAAAGTTTTTTAAAGCAAAAAAAATTAGCAGAAGATATGGATCTAAATGTTAAATCAAAGCATCCAGAAACAGAGAAGATTATTTTAGAACAACAAATATTCATCATGAAAATGCTTGAAGAAATAAATGAAAGAAATAAAGTACAAAATAATATGCTTGAGAAAGACAGTCATGATGACGAAGAAGCATTTGACATATTAAAAAATAAAAAAGCTTATAATATACGCACTGAAAATCAAAGTAAAATGCTTTCAGATATGCCTCAAACTGATGAAGTAAAAAAAGAAGATGACATTTCTGATTTATGTATCAATAGTAATGTAGAAATGATAAAACGTTCTATATATAACAATGAATGTCTTGAGAGCAATACTTCTGACTATCCTTCTTGTTCACAAAAGCAAACAGATTTTATTGTTGATAAAGAAAATATTACCGCACAATCTATCGATCCTGCTAACAGTTTAGTTTTGAATATTTCAAAACCATTTTATGAACCCAAGACTGATGTAAACATAAACTGTGAGGATTTGGTAGCCATAGATACAACTGTATCTCCGGACTCGATAAGTAAAACTTCTAAAAATCAAAACATGGAGACAGATAAGTCTGTTTCAGATCCTTTTGTAAACAATGATAAACTCTTAATAAAAAGTTCAAAACAAGATGTTAGTCAACAGAAAATTATTGCTTATTGTGACCATTCTCCTGTCAGATCAGATAAACTTATATTAACATACACACCATCTTTGTCGCCACCATCTTACTCAGCAACTAGTGAAACAGAAAATAATGATAACACTTCAATGAACAATTCAGCAGATGATGCAAGTGTTGCATCAGATAAACATGTATCTCAAAATAAGATTTGTGAAGTTCAAGAAGTTAAAGCTGATCATATTCATTCACCATTAATCCAGACTGATTTAATGAAAGATAGCAACTTTGACAATCTTCCAATAATTCAAGCAGATAATATTGATGCAGATCATGAAGATGTTCATGAAGAGGGGAAAAATATAAAAGAAGATATTTCTAATTTAACTGCCTATCGCCAAAGTCTTGAGCGGCAAATAGGTCATGTATCATTTTGTGGTACAGAACCAAATGAATCAGCACGACAAGCATACATTGATGATTTGGATAATTCAGTAAGCTCATTACAAGCTAAGTGCCGTACTTTATGTGAGCTGTTACCACACGATAAAAATATAGATGGGTTTACAAGCATTTGGAGAGTAAGTATTTTTTTTTCCTTTTTACATATCATTTTTACATATTTTCATTTACATATCATTTTTACATAATTTCCTTTCTACATGTTTTACTTTTTACATAATCATTTTTACATATTTTCAAAGGACTTGGAAAAAGTGGAAGAGTTAGACATATCTAATTACACTACAGAAGCAGGGGAAATCAATGTTACTAAGAACAGATATAGAGATATTCTACCTTGTAAGTTTTGAATATAAGAATTTGAAATTTACTAATTAATAATTTTACACCATTTTTATTAGAAAACAATGTTTCTTTATAGCTATTATTTATTTATTTAATATTATTTTTGTAAATTCTTAAAATGCACACTTTTTGTAGTCTTTCTTTTAAGTTATATAGAAATTTTTTGACTATTTCAAAATAAATTTTTGACTATTTCAAAAACTTTTTAAAAATTGAAAACATCTGCTATTTTCAGATTTAAGTATTGTTATTGTCTGGTCTGTTTTATGCTCTCTACTAATTTTTTTTCAGGGGACCACTCACGAGTACATCTAATGTCAGTGCCTGATGATTATATCAATGCAAGCTTTGTTGAGGTTTAAATAATAATTTTAGTTTTAATAATTGATTTAGACAATTTTAGTTATACTTTACTATTTACTTTTAAGTCAAACATCAGTTTTAAAGTGAAAAATATTTTTATATTTTATTTTCAAATGTTATTTAAAAATAGAAAAATAGTATTCTTACATTTTATTTATCTAATTGATTTATTGGTTTAGAACTTGACTCCTTTTTCTCCACGTTACGTGGCAACTCAAGCTCCAATACCACAAACATTTGAAGACTTTTGGGTAATGGTGTGGGAACAAAATGCATCAGTAATTGTAATGTTGACTAATGAAGTAGAAGGTCAAAAGTTAAAGTGCCATCCTTATTGGAACAGAAATATTGACGAACCTGTGGAGTATGGAATAATAGCTGTAATATTATTGAGTGAAAATATCAATCCTTCATGGAAAATAAGAACTTTTATGATATTCAATAAAAAGGTAGAAAATTGTTTTGTTTAGTTGTTTTTTATTTTGTTTTTCATTTATTATAGTGTATGCTTTATTTTTAGGAGGATAGTACCCGTGTTGTTAAACATCTACAGTTTACCTCGTGGCCAGATTAGTATGAAGTTTTTTTATAGATTTTTTTACAACAATTCAGATCATCGATTTTATTTATATATACACACACATCAAATTCACGCTTAAGTTTATTTTTTAAAGCTATAATATTTCATACAATCTCTCTCTCTCTTTGCAAGATATTGTTTCCTTGATTTGTTTATTAACTTTTTCATCAATGAGTGATGAAGTTGAATAAAACAACAAAATCTACAACAAAATGAGAATAAAACAACACAATCTACTGATAAATACCAATTGTATTTACTAATTTTTCTCAGGGCTGCTTTGGATGTTAATTTGTCAGCAGTTTCATATTCGTTAAGTCTCTTTAAAAAGCACAAATCTTGATTAGGTGCTTTTACCACCAGACTACATGCAAGCCATGGTTTCACATTTTTTCTATTATATTAGAAAACGTTTGGGCGATGATATCAATGTATGTTTCAATAGCAGCAGGATTAATAATTTTCCCGTTGTCTCTAAACATTTTAGACATAGGGCTTCTTGTAACTTTTTTTTCAAATTTTTATTAGATTTTTGTTTCGAAAACACATTTTAAAACCAGTTTTTAAATGTATTGGTAGAAAACTAAGAGTAGTAATTTTTTATTCTAAATTACACAATTCAATTTGAAAAAAAAACACACTGTTCAATTTAATTTTCATTTTTGGATAGTTTTTTTTTTCTACACTTTCTAAACACTTGAGTGCTCTGGTTTTTGTAAAAATATTTTATCTTTTTCTATTATTATCTGTTTCAAAACATCAGTGCATCAAATAAATAGTTTGAAAGTCCTACTCACTAACTTTGTAAACATATTGTCATTTTTTTCTCCCAAAAATACAATAAAATACAATCAATACAATTACAATAAAATCAATTAAAAAGTTGAACATGTCATACTAAAGAAATAACAAAAGAATAGGTCAAAAAGTTATGCAATGTATATAGAATGTAATAGCTAATTGTTATTTGGACACGGATAATCTGTTTATTTATATCAGATTTTAACCATTTTATGAACATACTTTCTTTAAGTTTTAACTCGAATTTATTAGATGTCGAATCGAAAACAGAGAAACACTTATCATTTAGTTGCATGAAACACTAGCATTGAGTTGCTTATAGATACAAAACTTTTTGTCTGTTTTGTAATGTTCAGGTATTGGCGTCCTGAGATGGTGGACAGTTTCGTCTATATAACAGGTTTTGCATCCTGCGCATACAAATTTATAAACGATTTGAAATCTAGAAGAATAGGAGCTTTTAAAGAAAATAATTTTAAAATTGAGGTAAATATTTGCAATATCAAATGGCAATATTTTTTAGCAATGGAATTCATTCTTTTTTTCAGTTGAGTCAGATATTTTTCACAAAAATGGAAGTTTGAAATAGGAAAAGGATTCTTTTGTTTTTAGTTGTGGTGGAGTATTCGAACGTAGATATGCAGAAAACAGCCAGTCCACAATTTCAGCCAATTAAAATATTGATGTCACCCAATGGAGAAAAGTCAATTCTATGCTCTACTAAAACCAGCCAGACGGCTTTCATACAAAAATTCAGTAATAGTCTCACAAAATATTTTTGTTGTATAGATTTAATCATTCAACATTTAGCTTTTATCTCAGTTTAAGTTTTTTGTGGCTGGCTGCTTTCTGCATAACTACATTCATGTGTTAATAACTACATTCGTGTGTTAATCTTGTTTTGATAGGAGTTATATTTTTGAAATTTGCCAAAATTAGTACATGTTTCTTTGAAATACTTTAAAGAGGTCGTTTATGTTGGAGTGAAACCCAAGTTTACTACTATTAGTTTTAAACATTCTATTGATTAAGCATTTGATTAGGCTTGAAGTATGAAAATGGAACTTATAAAAGTTTGTGTGAGGACCAGAATAGGTTTTTTTTTTATGAAAAACGGTAGTGGTAACTGAAGAATTACTATTGTGCAGAGTTACGTTTAGGAAAGATATTTTATAATAAACTTATTGTTCCATAATAAAAGAAATAGAGTTTTGTTTATTAT